TTGGTGCCAATAAGTCCAATAACTGTTGGGTTGATTAGGAGGTTATATCTATAGTATTCATGGGGATTATAAACCAACTTATAGAAGGTATCGCTTCGCTATCTTCCAAAACTCAGTCTTGATCTATGACCAAATCCATGAAGGTCCTGATCTATGTCCATATGATTCGCGCTGTTTTCATCGAATCGAATCCCACTCGTCTTTCGTCAAAGGGGTCACCTGTGCCATCCTGGAGAGATATCTGGGGTCTGGACCAGCTGGAATGACATCATATCAAGCCAGTTAAGACCCAGACTAGAGGCAAATCCCTGCCTGTTTTCCTACGTCTCACTCATATTCTCACTCATATTTCAGGATACTGTTTTTTTTTTTTAATGTTGTCAAAAGACTCCAAGCACATCTCAAACAAAAGAAACATGTGAACACATGTGACCTCTCATAAATGATGAGAAATATCAAGAAAACTGAACTATTCTGAATTTCACAAAAAAAAACAGCTCCATAAATATCCAATTTCCATAGAGTTTTCCTCCAGCCCGTCCCCTTTTCTGTCATGGCCACGGCGTTGCGAAAAATCTCCAGGTGGCCCCGACCAGCAGACGATATAGCCACGTCCCTCCGGCGATTCCGCGCCATCCTGGACCTGGAGGATTGATAAAAACCATCTAGATGACAATCCTATGGCTATGGTTATCTATCTATCTACCTATCTACCTATCTATCAATCAATCAATCTATCAATCAATCAATCTATCAATCTATCTATCTATCTATCAATCAATCAATCTATCTATCTATCTAAAGGTTTATATATATAAGTTAAATCTGTACAGTTACATATATATATAGTTAAATGACTATGGCTACTTTTTATGCTATATTCATATGATGGTATCTAATTAGATTAGCTAGATAAATGATGTTGATTTCAGGCAACATATTGACCGGAATTGTCATGGTTTGATCTGCGAATATTGGGCTTTTAAGTCTGTTTGACATCAAAGACCGGTTGCTCAAAAGGTATATGGTATCCCAACAGGAAGGGCCCCTTTTCGTTGGCAGGTTTCTGTTGCTTCGTTCCATGGTACTTAGAGGATCATCCAGCTGGAAAATCCTCCAAAAAATGAATGATCTGATGGCTGGGGGTACCCCCATGACGAAACGGAAACCTCCACTTGTTGGTGCTTGAATCGTTTATCCCATATATATATACACATAAGCGAGTTAGAACCCCAGTTGTATATATATATAAGTGAAATGGATTGCCAACCAGCAACGACTGGGATGACTCTCCAAGTACCAACATCCCGGGGGGGTTTTGGGCCCTGGTCTTGAGCAGTTCACACGCCAGTCACAGGTGAGATCTCACCATATCTCAACCGGTCATCGCTATTTTCTGGTTGGTGGTATACCTACCCCTCTGAAAAATATGAGTTCGCCAGTTGGGATTATGAATTTCCCAAGAGTATAAATAGAGATATGGTTACACCTTTTAGCCTTTTAGATCTCAATCATCTCAACCATCTCAACTATCTCAACCATAAATCATCGCTATTTTTGCTGGCTGATTTTGATGACCAAAATGGTGATGTAACCAACAAAAACTTATGGGATTTAAAGGAATTTATTTTTTTTTGATTTATGGGAACATAACAAAATAATGCGTACACAGTGGGGGCCGCATAGTCAGCTAAATTGATTTAGTTCACCAAAAAAGAATAACTGTTGGCTTTGTTTTTGGGATATATCGAGCTAATTAGATGGTGAAACATACACCAACAAACAGTTATAAGTTGGTTTATAGTAGATATATCCCATTACATTATCATAAACCCTAGTTATTGTAGTGATAAACCAACACATATATATCTTGGAGGCCCCACTTTGTGGGTATATTCTTCATAGCTCATTGTGGTTGGGTTGCCGTCTTGGAACGAGGCCTCAAATATCTTGGGTTTCAACGCGCCCATGATGGTCACAGCAAGCTCCATTTTTATTATATAGGTCTTTGAATTGTCATGATTGATGACACGAGTAAACATTATTAAACATGCATTTTGCTTCTCTGGTTCTATCAAATCATATCCCAATGCCAGATAACATTGATGTTCCATGATATTCCCGTTCGAGTTCCATTCATATCCCATTAATCCCTATAAATCCATCAATCACCAATAAATATCTATATAGTTCATCCCTGTTCCCCTCCGTTCATTATTCAAAAAACCGCGTTGTTGACGCATGAACGACGCGTGAAGTCGCGCGCCTTGATGTTGCGAAAGGTCTCTTTGGAGGTTTGTGACCACCTTGGATCCCCATCGAGGTCTGATGGCTGGATTGATGGCTGGATTAATAAACCCCGTTTACGGCTGTTGAATTGGGAACATACCCCAAAAAAGTATCTGGTTGGTGGTATACCTACCCCTCTGAAAAATGATGGAGTTCGTCAGTTGGGATGATGACATTCCCAATATATGTAAAGTCATAAGATTCATGTTCCAAAGCACCAAAAAAGTATCAGTGATCATGACGAAATGACGGGGGAATAGTCCCCTCATCCCACGGCAAAATGGGTGAGTTCACCCCAGTGATTTACCTGGGATAATCCACTGGGGTGAACTAAGCCACTAATACGTTACAGGGGCCCCCGAGCTCGCGTTCTAAGTTGCCTTACCAAGTGGCTGAATTAACTATGGTTTATGATAGATATAACGAACTAGTATTCATGGGCTGAAACTAAACCAACATTCGCATCACGTTTGGGAGCTCCATCCTGGAGAATCATGTAGGCCTTTGAGTACCCGGTACCGGTACCCCATAATTTTTTATGCCCTATATGGATGTGGATCTTCACCGCTAGTCATGTGGTAATTTCAAGGGTTTTGATAGGTATACTGGGTTATATAATGTTATAATAGGTTATATATTAGGTATATAGCGAGGATTGACTTTTGCTGGATTACACCAGCATTTTTTTTTATACCTGCTAATCACCAGTGAGGATACACCAGTAAAAGAACTAAACTAATCATAGTTGCTGGATTGCATTCCCAATTCAAATAATCAGGTAGTATCAACATGGGGTGTAACTTGAACGTTGCATCTTTAAGCCAGAAAACCTAGTGGTTGTCAATGACACGGGAATCATTTGAGCATTTGAGTAGCTTAGCAGATCCTCACATTTTGGGAAGACGCCTTCTGGAAGGACCCTGCAGTGCCAATAAAGCAGCTGGAAATCGCCAAGCTATTCATAGGCATGATATGTATGGAAAATCATCTGGTAAAAGGCAGATTTTTCAGCTATATTTGATGACACCGGATTACCATTACCCTCCGGTGTCATCAAACATGGCAACGAAAAATCCATCAAGTATAGATGATTTTCCCATTAACAGCTCCATTTATAGAAGATTTTCATGGATCTTCCACTACCACATTAGATTCCCAGAGGTTTTTTGCCAGAAACTAAAACATTATCTGGTTGGTGGTTTCAACCCCTCTGAAAAATATGAAAGTCAGTTGGGAGTATTATTCCCAATATATGGAAAAACAAATTAATGTTCCAAAACCACCAAACCGCTAAAACATTATACAATCATTAACCAGGTTTTGGCACAAGGTTGTGCCCCCCCAGTTATAAGTTGGTTTATAATCCCCATTAACTATAGATACAACCTCCATAAACCCTAGTTATTGGACTTATAAACCAACTTAGCTAACTATGGGGCGCCACCTTGCAGTTCCCAAAGTGACCTGACCAGTTCAACTGGTCTCATCCCTTTCGTTCTCCGTGCGTTCTGAAACCATGCCGTCTTTCGAAAAAAATCTACTGGGACGACCGGGAAAGTGACAGGGGAATTCTATTTTTATGGTGGTTTTCAGTTTTTCATAGGAAAACCATAGGAAAAACCATAGGAAAATTGTGATTTAATGAGGGGTTTTACCCTCTGGTAAACTAACAGTTTACTATGACAAAATCACCATTTTTAATGGGAAAACTCAGTATCAATGGCCATGTTCAACAGATATCTGGAAAATTACCAGAGCGTAAATCCTATGCCTTTGCCTTACGAGTGGAATACATTCTGATTAATTACCCTGTTTGTATGCCAATTGACTGAGAGTCTGTACTTGAAAATAAGGTTCCCCATTCCATCGCATCATTTAATACATCGTTTTCTTCATTAACATTTTTTTTGGGGGGCATCCACCATTTTCATACAAACCCATGCGCCGAGAGCTACTTAGCTACCAAGAATCATGCCAGGAAGCAGGTTCCTCTGAAATGTACGTAATCCATGTAAATCACAGTTGAACATGAACAGTGACTACTAACTCGAGTTCATGGAGCCGGAGATTTCTCTACTTTGGGACATCGACAGAGATCAACAAATTTGGTGAACAATAACCCATATGCTCCATGGTGCTGGAATATTTACCAACATCTGCCCCAAAAATCACCCAGTTTTGTAGGTAAATATACCATACATGAATATACATGGAGCATATGGGATAACCTATCAGATCAGATTCCGGCCCCTTTTAAAGCCTTCTATTTTTCAAGTGTCGAAGCTGCGGCCATCATCCCCGACCCCGTCATATCAGCTCCGGGTCCCCAGGCGTGACACTGGGAATGTTGGGAATGGCCGGAAATTCGGCGGCAGCGAAGCGCACGGGGATCAAGATTTTCCAACCTCGGTTTTGCGACACTGGCACTGGGAACCCATCACTGCGAGGATGAAGCCTATTCTCATAGTATATCAGCATCATTCAACAGCCAAAAAAAGAGCCGAAAAGTGTCAAACCAGGATGGTATAATATGTTATATCCCAGATGCTTGGTGCTGGTAAATAAAAACCTACAAAACTGGGTCATTTTGGGGGCAAATGCTGGTTTTTATATTCCAGCACCATGGAGCATATGGGTCTTGGGGGTTGCCGGAGTTACTGGTTTCAAAGGATCGTCCGTGAAACGCATAGCTATTTTTGGTGACGTTGATCGGAAGTCCCCGACTACTTATCATATATCATTATATAACATGGCGGAAAAGATCGGGAAACAATAGGGTGACCGAACTTTAACCAGTTCAGTCACCATTTCTGGGATGATCTCCCAAGAATTCATCTTTTTTGCATCTCCTTCAACCCTTCAACTTGCCGGATGATTCCAGCAAAGTCATTCCGACCGAACCGGTCTTCGAGAAACATCAACGGTGAGAACCCTTGGTAATCCAATCCCCCTAGGAACCACATATTTGGGACCACTTGGCGTTTGATTTTAGGGGGATAGGATTACACAGGGGAACATAACTCAACATCGTAAAATCTGCAGCAGATGCAAAAAGAGAAACTATCATAAACTATCTGCAAAACTCGTCAATGACATTCTATACCCATATGCTCCATGTATGGAATATTGACCTACATTTACCCCATTTTTATGGCCCAGTTTTGTAGGCAAATATTCCAGCACCATGGAGCATATGGGATATAAAGGTTTTGTTTTGGATACGTTCTTTTCGGAGACACCTGATCCTTTAATCATCTGCACAGCTTCTCAGGATCCTGCAACAAGATGGTTTCTCAAAATCAAAGACGGCTATGGGTCAAAGACGGGTCGCCGAACATCAAAAAAATCTTCCCCGTGGACATTTTACTATGGGTGTATATATATATATATCTATATATCCAAATAATGTGGCTTATCAATGCTTTTCATAGTCTCCATTGAACCAGGTAGATATAATCCCCTATAACAACCTATGAACAATCTGGGTCAATGATCATATTTCACTAACCACCTGCGGGCAATTATGGGGACGCTTCCTCATTCACCATGATTCCAGGGGTCACGACTTGGGGTCACAACATCATTTGCGATGAACTGGTTTAGATTCCATAGATCCCCATAATGACTATATTCCAACCATTGTACTCAAGATAAAAAGTATATCTGGTTGGTGGTTTCAACCCCTCTAAAAAATATGAGTATGATTATTCCCAATATATGGAAACATAAATTTCATGTTCCAAACCACCAACCAGTAGACGTATATTCTTATAATTTCCCATGTGTAGTCCTGTTATATTGGCAGTCCAACTATTTACCAGTAAAATATAAACCGTGGACCGGACAGGAAGTGGCATCATCATCGCAGGAGACAAAGACCTGGCAGTTCAACTGGTTGAATCGGCATAAAAGTGATCAAAAGCATGGCTCAAAATCCCCCTATTTTTCATGGTGAAAAACCATGTTAAACCCATTAAAGCACAATGTTTCATGGTAACACGATGTTTCATGGTAAAACCACCATTAAACATCACCATGTTTCATGCTTAACGCCAACTCCACATGTTTCATGGTTGAATCCAGTTCTACATCGCCTCATGGACCGTGTTGAACATCTCGGCACGCTTCACTGCCTCGCTGGGTGAACCGTTCCGTTCCGGAGAGCTGGCTGTGTGAACAGTTCACCAAACAAGAAGTGTTGGGTTGATTCGGGGTATATATATATGTATATATATATATGTATATATATGTATATATATATATACATACACATACACATGTATACAATGTGTTAGATATGGGTCAAATTCACTAACGTTATCTATTGATATCTACAGTCAGTGCCAGAATTATAGAACGGAGCGAAGAGGACAAAAGTACGGTAAAATACCGTACCTTTGTCCTCTTCCGGGTTCGAACCTGGAGCGGAGTCGGAAAATTTAATTATAGAACGGGGAAGAGGACAAAGGTACGGTAAAATACCGTACCTTTGTCCTCCTGGCTCCGTTCTATAATTCCTGGCACTGACATAAAATGAGGATAAAATGAGGAAATGATGAGGAAATGATAATAAAACGCGGATAAAATGAGGATTTAATGGGGATTTGATGAGGAAATGAGGATAAAATGCATATTTAATGAGGATTTAATGAGGATAGAACGACGAAAAAGGTTAGGAGTAAATTCAGATACATTTTTTTTCATACCTTCCGAGGAAAACAGAATTATAGAACAACAGGGTACGGTAAATAACCGTACCTTCGTACTCCTCAACTTCCGTTCTATAATTCTGTTTTCCCCCATTTTTCCCACATTTACCAGGTGATTTTCTCAGATTTCATGGTGATTTTATAGGAATTCATAGTGGTTTTATGGGATTTCATGGTGGTTTTATGGGATTTCACGGTGATTTTCTTAGATTTCATGGTGATTTTGTAGGATTTCTGGGACCCCGGAAGAGGTTCTATAATTCTATAATTAATTTTTCCGTTCTATAATTAATTTTTCCGTTCGACGGAAAAATTAATTATAGAACGGGACCCGGGAAACATTAATTATAGAACGAAAATGGGAAATGTGAGAAAAATGGGGGACAACAGAATTATAGAACAACAGCGCTCCGACAAGAATTATAGAACGACGAAAAAGGTTAGGAGTAAATTCAGATACATTTTTTCTCATACCTTCCGAGGAAAACAGAATTATAGAACAACAGGGTACGGTAAATAACCGTACCTTCGTCCTCCTCAACTTCCGTTCTATAATTCTGTTTTCCCCCATTTTTCCCACATTTACCAGGTGATTTTCTCAGATTTCATGGTGATTTTATAGGAATTCATAGTGGTTTTATGAGATTTCATGGTGATTTTATGGGATTTCACGGTGATTTTCTTAGATTTCATGGTGATTTTGTAGGATTTCTGGGACCCCGGAAGAGGTTCTATAATTCTATAATTAATTTGTCCGTTCTATAATTAATTTTTCCGTTCGGGGCCCGGGAAACATTAATTATAGAACGAAAATGGGAAATGTGAGAAAAATGGGGGAAAACAGAATTATAGAACAGCAGCGCTCCGACAAGAATTATAGAACGACGCAAAAAATTAAGAGGAAGATCAGATACATTTTTTTTTCACACCTTCCGAGGAAAACATAATTATGGAACAACAGGGTACGGTAAATAACCGTACCTTCGTCCTCTTCAACTTCCGTTCTATAATTCCGGCACTGACCATATTGGGGATATTAAATAACATTATCTATATCTATGGGTGATATGATGTTGTGGATATGGGTCCAAACCCTGTACCCCTGTAGTTCACACTAAAATAGTAGGTAAATGCATGTTCATCCCCCCTATAAATGGTTGTTTACAGGTATTGATCCATAGCCATATCGAACTAGTTAGATGGGGCTATAAACCAACAAACATAACAGAACCGGGAGGCCGCTTCCTGTGGGTTACAGGAATCAAAACACAAAACGATCCACGGGTCTAGGCTCAAGTTCTGGCTGAGTGCAATGAGGCTATGGTCAATTGGAATTTCATGATCCTAAAATGGAGGTACGTTAGTACCATATAAAACAATATTTTGTGGCGATATTCCCTGAAATTTAGGCCTGAAAAATAGGCCTTATAGATGGTAGGTACCTCCAATCAATCGGTTCCTGTTGCATGGCCATTGATATGGGACAAGATGACGGATACCCCAATAATATAGTTTGATACCCACATTGTCTCTGTGGCAAGTGGTTTCCTCAAACAATGAATATTTTGTCAGTTGCTTCTTGGCTAATCTGAGAGAACTACTCACATGAATGTGGTAATCTCAATAGTTCTAATCTCAATGCAGTTTAGCGGTGATTGTTCATAACATGCTCCAATATCGGGAGATGTTTCTTTCCCAGCGACAAAAAACCCTATTTAGTTCGGAAATTTCCCAGCCAGCCTGGCTGGCTATAAACGCCATTTCTCCACAGAACCTTCACCCCATGAAATACTGTTTGGTCGACACGTATCCCCAAATCATTGGGCTATTTTCGAATTCTCAATAGGCCACTTAATCAGGATTTCTTCCCAAAATGACAAAATTCTACAAATTTTCTGGACGTTTCTATCCCAATTTTCGTTAAAAAACCTCTGGAGAAAATTGGTGGTTGAATCCCCATAACGGCAGAAACAAATGCTGCCCATGATGAATCTTTTTTATACCTGCCAAAAAATCTAGTTTTCCTAGTTTTCAGCTGGTAAATGTACATTTTACATCATTTTACCGTTGAAACAAACGATTCAGTGATGAAGTTGTACAAGCTCGTATCTAAGAAAACATGATCATCATATTAACCAATGATATTCCGTATTCAGCATGGCATTCCCATGGTTGACCCAGCTTGACCCCGGGTCCCCACACCAACGCCAGCGCAGCTTGGGTGGTGTCTGCAGGATCTGGATTGACTCCTGTGGGATGATCTTGTGGATATTCTTACGGATGCGGATATAAAAAATGATATGGATCATCATTGATGGTTGGTGGTTGATGCTTGAAAATTGATGGTTGATGGTTGATGATTGATGGTTGGTGCTTGGTGCTTGGTAATTGATGGTTGATGGTTGGTGGTTGGTGGTTGATGCTTGAAAATTGATGGTTGATGGTTGATGATTGATGGTTGGTGCTTGGTGCTTGGTAATTGATGGTTGATGGTTGATGGTTGGTGGTTGATGCTTGAAAATTGATGGTTGATGGTTGATGATTGATGGTTGGTGCTTGGTGCTTGGTAATTGATGGTTGATGGTTGATGGTTGATGGTTGGTGGTTGATGCTTGAAAATTGATGGTTGATGGTTGATGATTGATGGTTGGTGCTTGGTGCTTGGTAATTGATGGTTGATGGTTGGTGGTTGGTGGTTGATGGTTGATGGTTGGTGGTTGCTGAATGATGACTGATGGTTGGTGGCTGGTGCTTGGTAATTGATGGTTGGTGGTTGGTGGTTGATGCTTGAAAATTGATGGTTGATGGTTGATGATTGATGGTTGGTGCTTGGTGCTTGGTAATTGATGGTTGATGGTTGATGGTTGGTGGTTGATGCTTGAAAATTGATGGTTGATGGTTGATGATTGATGGTTGGTGCTTGGTGCTTGGTAATTGATGGTTGATGGTTGATGGTTGGTGGTTGATGCTTGAAAATTGATGGTTGATGGTTGATGATTGATGGTTGGTGCTTGGTGCTTGGTAATTGATGGTTGATGGTTGATGGTTGGTGGTTGATGGTTGATGGTTGATGGTTGATGGTTGATGGTTGATGGTTGGTGGTTGGTGGTTGTAATTGATAGGTTTGCGAATGGTGATGGTGGTGGTTCGCTCATGCTTGAAATTGTGGTCACCCATAGATCAAGGATGAGAAACAATTGATACAGGTTGTGCTTGGTGCTTGGTAATTGATGTTGAATGGTTGGTGGTTGAATAGACTTGAAAATTGAGGGTTGCAATAAAGGTAACTACAGATAAAGTGATTGATGGTTGGTGGCTTGGTGCATTGGTAACAATTATAAGATATTCCCTAGGAATTATATAGGTGGAAAAACAAAAAACACAAAAAAGGAAAAGGTCAATCCCACTAGCTACCAAATTGCTTGAAAATTGATGAACTGTTGAAATGGTAAAATGATGATTGATGGTTGGTGCTTGGTGCTTGGTAATTGATGGTTGATGGTTGATGGTTGGTGGTTGATGCTTGAAAATTGATGGTTGATGGTTGATGATTGATGGTTGGTGCTTGGTGCTTGGTAATTGATGGTTGATGGTTGGTGGTTGGTGGTTGATGGTTGAAAATTGATGGTTGATGGTTGATGATTGATGGTTGGTGCTTGGTGCTTGGTAATTGATGGTTGATGGTTGATGGTTGGTGGTTGATGCTTGAAAATTGATGGTTGATGGTTGATGATTGATGGTTGGTGCTTGGTGCTTGGCAATTGATGGTTGATGGTTGGTGGTTGGTGGTTGATGGTTGATGGTTGGTGGTTGCTGAATGATGACTGATGGTTGGTGGCTGGTGGTTGATGGTTGGTGGTTGCTGAATGATGACTGATGGTTGGTGGCTGGTGGTTGGTGGTTGGTGGTTGATGGTTGATGATTGGTGTTGGTGGTTGGTGGTTGGTGGTTGATGGTTGATGGTTGGTGGTTGATGGTTGGTGGATGGTTGATGGTTGGTGGTTGATGCTTGATAATTGATGGCTGATGGTTGATGATTGATGGTTGGTGGTTGGTGCTTGGTAATTGATGGTTGATGGTTGATGGTTTGTGGTTGATGGTTGATGGTTGGTGGTTGATGGTTGATGGTTGGTGGTTGATGGTTGATGGTAAATGGTTGGTGGCTGGTGGTTGATGGTAAAAGGTTGGTGGTTGATGGTTGGTGGTTGATGGTTGATGATTGGTGGTTTGTGGTTGATGGTTGATGGTTGATGACTGATGGTTGATGGTTGGTGGTTGGTGGTTGATGGTTGGTGGATGGTTGATGGTTGGTGGTTGGTGGTTGATGATTGATGGTTGAAGGTTGGTGGTTGATGGTTGGTGGCTGGTGGTTGGTGATTCATGGTTCATGGTTCATGGTGGATAGTTGATGGTTGATGGTTGATGGTTGATGTTGTTGATGATGATGATGATGATGGTGGTGGTGATGATGGTGATGCTGCTGATGATGATGGTGCTGCTGCTGCTGATGATGATGATTATTATGATGATGATGAGTAAGGTAATGTCACAGGTGAACATAGCAGTCAAACTCCACAGACATGAACTGGTTGCATGTCCAGCCTCAACCCTATTAGATTTGAATCTTTGCTTTCCCTATCTGTCCCTCCATTTTTGCTACTCATTGAAGGATATCAAAGATTTCTTCAAACATCGCTAAGAAGAACCCATTCATCAACCCATTTATCTACCATGATCATTTGGCTATTTTCGTCAAAACCCTGGCAAACGGATGATATGATGATACCGTAGAATAACTGGGATTTATGGATGATTCCCCCAGTCATATGGTAACTTCATAGGTCTTTGTCTATCCCCAGTCATGCCAACCTCTCTCCCTTTTGCCGTCCCTAGCATCCCTACCATGTGGGGGCCCCCGTTCGATAAATAGGTGAACATGCAGTTCACCCCATAACTATCAGATTTTATGGTAGAATATGGTATATGCTAGATATAACTATGGTATTCGTTGGGTTTATAAAACCAATAAACACTGGTTGGTGGTTTCAACCCCTCTGAAAAATATGAGTTCGTCAGTTGGGATGATGAAATTCCAAATATACAGTATATATATAAATATGTATATATATATATATATACATATATGGAAAAATAAAATTCCATGGTTCCAGTCACCACCAACCAGAACATATATAAACATCACGTTTGGGGGCCCCAGCTGACGTACAAAACCCTGTCCCATGGCACAGTTGGCAACTGGCACATCTCATGGCCAACCCATGGCCTGCCAATCTTACACGATCACCATCCTTCAGGCCATGGCTCCTGGAAAGTGGACGATAATTTGGCCATCCCTAACCAAGCATTTCATGGGTTAACTACTCTTTATAGCAAATAGATATATAATATAATATATATATATAGCACATATATATATATATGTAAATATACTGTATATAGTGGAGGGTTATTATAGTAGTGATTGGATTATTCTTGTGGGTGATCCTCGTGGTTTTCCCAAGCACTTTTTGGGAATCCACCAGCTCGATGTGGTAGCCAAAGCTCCATGATCTCTTCAAACTCGCCAATGTACCCTCTGGTAAACATATTAAAAACCATAGGAAAATGGTGATTTAATGAAGGTTTATGGTGGTTTAATGGAATTTAATGGGATTTACCCTCTGGTAAACTAACATAACTATGGAAAATCGCCATGTTGAATAGGTAAATCAACCAAAAAGGTGGTATTTTCATGTATTTTCCATAGCTGTGTTAAATTACCAGAGGGTAGTGTGGCTACAATTCTAGCCCATAAACACTGGTTGGTGGTTCACCTACCCCTCTGAAAAATATGATTTGGTCAGTTGGGGTTACTATTCCGAGTATATGGAAAAATAAAATTCATGTTCCAAACCACCAACCAGTCTTCAAACTCGCCAATGTAGTGTGGCTACAATTCTAGCCCATAGGTTCCATGTCCGGTATATTTACCTACATTTGGGTGATTTTTACGGGCGAATGTTGCTAAATATTCCAGCACCATGGAGAATATGGGTAGGGAACACCAATTTATGTTCATCTGTTTCTTATTCTTTTGGGATTCCACGCTGGAATCAACGGATCGATTGAAGGGATACGATTTTCAAATCTATGGAACTCCATTATTTCCTCACGGTCTCGTCTCTTAGGGGGTTTTCTGGTTCAAGTTCCGACCCCAATATTAGGATGGAAACAACAGTTTTTGCAGGAAAACCCAACCGAGTTGTGTAAGTCGGTTGGGGATGGATTGTGGTCATCCAACTGGTTCGATATTTCCCAGATATCCCCAGATAAGATCCCAGTTGACCTAGTTAGTTACAAATCAAGTTCCCTGGCGCCGTTGTGAAGATTAGTCACCTTTATGCTAACCCATATTAGCTCACCATGGTGCTGGAATACCAACAAAACTGCCCAAAAGTCCAAAATCACCCAGTTTTGTAGGTTTCTTTTATACCAGCACCATTGTGCGCTAATCTGGACAATGATTTCATGGGACAGTGATGCTGGAAGGGACTTTCCATTGGACCTAAGTACTTACTGGTGCGTTTTACGCAGGGAATGAGGGAATGATCCTAATAATCACTAGTAATAATCATCCCAGAAACCCCCATTCCCATCCATTCCCTACGTAAAACGCACCAGTAAGAGTAGTAGTTTAGTTCTTCTTTTAGTTTGACGGCATCCCAAGTTTCCGTGGCAAGATAGCAACTCCACTACCATCCTGGACAGCTTGGCATCGCAGTTGGGTGTTACTGACAGCTTTTGAAGACCCATGTGCTGGTCAATTGGGGATCATCATGTTATTTTTTTTGAAGCACCAAAAAAGGAATACTGTCATATTATTGTATAAATCACAAAAAGCATATAGACATACATATATATATATATCATATAGATATATCATATAGATATATCATATATTCATATCATATAATATATATATATGTTTGTCTGAACATGGGACTATACCTCCACTTATTTGGAACACGAGGCTATACCTCCACTTATTTGGAACACAACATATTGACACATATAAACAATGAATTTTTGGGGTCCCTGTGTTCAAACAAACCCATATGGTGTTTAAATCAAATATCTCTCTCTCTCTCTATATATATATATATATATACGTTGTAGAAATATAATCGAGTTTTTGAAATACCTGTTTCTTGGATAAACACCCCCAAGATCATATGTCTTATCTGATTTGAGGGTAGATTGGCTAAAAATGACTCATTTACCACTCAAAAGTGGCTATCATTGGCCTATCACCGAGCTGCAGCAAGCCTGTTCTTTTTATTGATGAACATCCAACCCTCCATTTATAGTAGCAATCATTGGATTTCCCACAGGATGGTGCCGCCCACTTATAGATGTTAAAGTTGGTTTATAAACCCCATGAATACTAGTTCGTTCTATCTAGCATAAACCATAGTTAATTCAGCCACTTCTGTACGGCAACTAGAACGCGAGCTCGGGGGCCCCATCCTGCAACATCTTAGTAAGTGGTTTAGTTCACCCCTAAGTGGATGAACCCTCTTATCCCATGTAATTAAATAGTTAAATCCCAGATATAAGTGGATTAACCCATATTTTCCCAAGTAAATATCTGGATTTCCTTGGATTTCCAATCTTTTCCGCTGATTCTCCCCCATCGTTTTTTATAGGTTTTTTTTGTGGTTCATCGGCACCTGTCGAAGGAGATTTCCGTTCCCATGCTGGACCACACCTGGCTGGGGGTTTCCTAAAATTGAGATACCCCTTTATCGCGGGATGGCTTATTTTATGGAAAAAAGAGACTTCCACCATTTTAGGAAACCTCAATATATATATATATATATACTATAGATGTTGGTGATCATTAAATATACCACTAAAGATTTAAGAATGAATAGCGACAATGATATATATATATATATATTCATGTTGGTCAACTGTGTAGTTAAAAATGTAGGTAATCTAGATTTGTAAAGATGTACATAAATATGGCCAATCATCCACATAAGTAACTATATATGTACTAAACAAATCCCATGATCATATATCTAAGATGTGTATTGGGTTCCCTAATAGGGATGGTGAAACGGATGATAAACTATTCAGAAGGATGGTTTATTATTGGGTTACCACTACCAATCTAAGATGATCAAAATTATGTACATTACACATGATATGTATATATATATATATGTATGTATACATATGTTATGTATGTATATACATATATAAATGTAAATATATTTAAATATGTATCTACCCCACACCAAGCGTCTTACTTCCCTTCTGGCTGGTGAAGAACTCAATTTTTTGTTGCTTCAACCAGCACTCTTGATGGTCATCTCTCCATCTGGGGACCTGCTACCCGAAAGGGGCATTGACCCTTTTTCAATCAAACATTAGTGGGGCATAATGAACATATGTAATCAATATGTAAGCCATGTTTCTGGCGTATGTCCAATTGGGAATGTAAATATATGTAAATATATGTACATACATATATATGTATATAAATGAAGGTTTCTTAAATATATCTATATAAATGAAGGTTTCCTTAAATGGGGGTACCCCTGTATCGCTGGATGGTTTATTTCATGGAACATCCCAAACAAAAATGGATGAGAACTGGGGGTAGCCATTCAGACATTCCAAGGTCCAACTCCCACCAAATGCTGAACCAGTGTCCAGTATCCACCAATTGGTTAAAAAGGTTTCATCTCCAGTTTTCGATTCTGCTTGATTACAAAAAGCGAAAAAATGTGACAGGTCTTAATGGATCATTTCTTCATCCATCTTTTGACAGTAGTTTCTCCATGATGTCCTCAATAACCTCCCGTGAAATCGATAGTTCGAATGGTATGTTACCAACTTTTAACTGTAGCTGGGTATGTACATATGCACCCTTTTGAACATATACCGTCATATGCACGCTGCACCCTATGCCAAGTGAAGATATGATGTGCCACCATAACATATACCCTCTGGTAAACTAACGTAACCATGGAAAAACACAATTTTATAGCTGGGAAAAGCCACTATTTCTATGGCCATTTTCAATTGCTTTTTGTATGTTTACCAGGCCGGGTATATGTAATGTGGCAGACCCGACATGTTGGACCATCCCTAATACCACCATTTTTCTGGGTGGTAACCACCTTGCCAAGTTATACTGATTGATATCCCTGTGGCTGACAATTAGAATCCAAAAAATATATGAGCTATATATATAATTAAAATTAATTATACATATTGACCAATCAACCAGGCTATGTTTAAAAACTGACATTAGGTATACCAATAGGTATACCATTAGGTATACATTTGATAACTAACATATATATATATACACCTAAGACATTAGGTATACACTAATGCTAACCCATTTGGTATACCTATTAACCCATCAACCCATCATATATTAACATATATAATACATTAGGTATACATATATATATATACATACCCAATAATAAATTAGGTATACATCTATATAAAATGCCCAAGATTGGGTATACCATTAGATATACACTAGATAACTCACATATATATATATATATATACACATGCCTGTTGACCTATTAACCTATGCATATATAACACCTTTATAACTAACCCAGTTGGTATACCTATTAACCCATGTATATATATATATATTTAGATACCCAATGGATCCAACCAACCATGGCAACCCAAGCATAGCCAAGTGTCCATGTCCGTAGGTCGTGCGCCCGAGGTGTCCCTTGTGTGCAGAATCGCTGGGTCGATCTCAGCAGCGCGGAAGGATGGTGCTATAATAAATTTAGTATACAATCAGTGATCTAAATATATTTAGTATATCAATCAATAGTACAATCTAGATGTAGTATCTATAGATATATATAATAAATTTGGATAGTGATCACATATCCAACATAGAGATACATAATAGTGATGCATAGATTTAGATCTTATCCATGTATCATATCTATATATACTGTACATCACTACAATCAGAAATTATGATAGTGATGTACATTTTAAATATATATATATATGCAACAATTGCTTTAATTTGTGATTGTATTGTGATTGTCTGTTAAAACAATTGCAGCGATTCTTGGTAAATCCTGGGAACTCCCATGTTCACGTGGTTTGGGGGATCATCTGGACAGGAAATCAACGGAGATTGGAAATACTGAAAGCTAAAATTACAGGAACCATCATCATCATCAACTATAAATATAATATATATATAATATATAATATATATATATAATATACAATATATATATAATAATATATATATAGTGTATGTATGTATATATATATATATATTCATTTGGTATATATAGATATGTATTTGCAGATGTACACATTTACCTGCAAACAATATACGTACATAGATATGCAAATATATAGATCTAAGTGTATATGTGTGTTGTACACCTGGGTTGATCATTGTGTATCCAAATAGATGGATAGGTGCATACATAGATAAAGAGGTGTTCCGATTTTCGTAGTGACACAGAGGTGTTCAAAGGTAGGTATTCGCTTTGACAAATCAAAAGCTACCCTCTGGTAAACGTTTACATAACTATGGAACATCACCATTTTTAATGGGAAAATCAACTATAAATGACCATTTTCAATAGCTATGTTAAATTACCAGAGGGTAAAACATCCAAAAGAAGGGTGAGCTTGAGTTCAAACAATGATATGAGGAAGCGTTGGTATTTGCGGAAGGGCACGCCATCAGGAACCGCGCTCAGTGATCATTGCCATCTCTGGCATCCTGGATTCGCATCCGACATTGTAGGCTAGGATGTGTTGATAGATCGATCTGTTACAATTCTGATACTGTGTTCATAGATCCATCTGTATATTATTGTATATTATCCAATTAAGTTATTATATCATTACTATATTATATTGTTACTATATTATCCTATTATCCGATTTTATTATCCAAACCACCAACCAGCCATCTACACAAACCATCTGTGGGATCATTTTCTACCAACAATCACTAGAAACAGACATGGGGATGTCGCGAAGGTAGCACCATCAATTTCTATAGCTGGGGTGTGTCTGAGCATGGATGGATTTCCCGCGATTTCATTCTTAAACGGAAACTGAGCTTTTAGCATGTTTTAACCTGATTTAACCCTGATACAGTGCTTGATACAGCATGATTTAACATGTTCAGCCTATACTCAAGGGAAATATATTTACTTAGCACATGTTCATAAATTTCCGAGGTATGGATGGATGGTCATGGTAAGTCTTCACACCGTCATGTCAACCACATCCTGTCAACCACATCATGAATCTAGTTGCATGGAAGTGAACCAGTCCGGTAACGTCAGAGTTTGTGGGTGAAACCATGGAGGTTCGCACATTTTCAGAGGGACAGGGCCTGTGTTTCGCGGTTTCGCGCCTTGATCTGGGGAAGCTGCCGAAAAAAATTGAACGAGAGTGTACCGAGAGCTCGATGGAACACTTTTAGAAGATGAGATCTGTGGCGAGGGCTCTGTTTTGCAAAAACATGCTAAAGAAACAAGAAATGAGCGGAGCAGACTAGCGCCGGATTTGTGCGCAGGAGATTTCTGATTCGATATGGGGTCGATTCGATGGTGCGTGTGTGCTATGCGAGATCGGCCGTGACAAAACGTCATGGGCACAGCTGCGCACAGGAACGCAGTGCAGATGCTGCGGCTCTCCTGCTATGCCAAGGCGGGGTAGCAGCTGGAGGTTGCAAAACGCATCTTACTGGCGGCGCGAAGAGAAGAATTGGGCTGCCGAAGCTACAGAAGAGGCAGAAGCGAGTCAGAGAGGAAGTAGCCCAGATAAGAGGCTGCAAGGAGAAGAAGTAGCTGAGAGAAAAGGTGCCTCAGCGAAGAAGTGTCTCAGTGAAGAAGTTGCTCACTCATCCATTCGTTCGTTCCTTCGTTGATTCACTCATTCATTGTTCATTCATTCAATCATTCAATTCTTTGATTGATTCATTCAGTCAGTCAGTCATTCATTCAATCAGTCGCTCATTGCTTCTTTCATGTCATTTCATTGGCATCTCAACAACCATTTGCTCATTTGTTACTTATTGATGCACCTCACAACCTCAAAATTTCATTGTTTCTGAATCTCACCGACATTCCTATAGGCCGTTAATTTCTTATAGCCATCAGCATATTGTCTTTTTGTAAACTTCTGCCCGGGCACGGCCGGGCACTATCTGTTATTATAAGTTGTATGATACCATGACATACATGACATCATATTACCATAGAACATCATGGAACTATTAAACCTATATAAATATAGCTGTTGTAATATCATAAAAAAAAACATGGTTGCGGTATGTTGCTGCACTGCACAGCTCATCCACCTGAAAATTCGCCAGCAGTGGAAAGTCCGGAAACTAGATTATTCTTCAACTTTTTTCCATGAATCTTCCATGAAATATCACAATTAAATCATATTAAATCTCCATTAAACCCAGAAAAACCCTGACATATATCCCATAAAAACCACCATGAAATCACCATCAAACTACCAGACACCGGGTCCATTTTTTCCCAGGGCTTTATCTGAAACCATCGTCATCTCGCCATCTGTCACTGGGGTCACCGGCCGGCCCGTTGGCGTTGGCCGTGGGGCCCAGGTTTCCACAATCCTGCAGCCTTTGCCAATGGTGCTGGATTGGTGCTGGATTGGTGCTGGATTTTGCGATCCAAGAAGACAAAAAATGGGATGTGATGGGATTTTAATGAGATTTTAATGGGATTTTAATGAGATTTTAATGAGATTTTAATGGGATTTTACTGATATTTTAATGGGAATTTAATGGGATTTTAACGGGATTTGATTGGATATAACTAATTAATCAACAATATATAATATACTTGGTGGCTCATCCCACGGCTCGAAAATGGGTTACATAGTTCACCCAGGTTTTTTGCAAGGGATAAGTCGGGTTAATCCACTTATATCTGGGGTTATAACCCACTTACTAAGGGGGATGAGCCACCAACTAGATCAATCTATTATAATAATGATACAAAGCATAGATATAATGTAACATTACAGATGTAAATTTAATGTCTATTATGATTTTATAGATCCATCTATGATCATTAACCCTGCAAAAGTGGCTATAATTTACCTATGACTTGGAGTACAACATGATAATTCTTGGCACAATACATAACTCATCATAACTATATACTTGGATTTACTGAACAAGATTCCCACAAAAGATTCCCCATAGATAGTGGATTTCCCTTTGGACAAACAATTAGCCAAATCGCAAATACATAATGAGGATAATGATCCTACGTAAGAAGTGGTAGTCAAATGGCATCACGGATCTCAACTCTTCTGGTGGACTTTGGCAGCTTACTCCGAATTGCCATGCTGCAAGGATTCCTTGGTAGACACTTGACTTTCTTCCTTAAGAAATCAAGCTTCGCCGGCTCATCTGAAGCTGCCACCAAAATCAAGAACTCCAAGTTGTAGTATTTGGACGGAAGTTTGTGCTGTTCGCCTTGAAACCCTTCCACAATCTTTTCCAACTGAGCAAGCATCCACACTGCCAGGAGCTCATCAAATTTCTTCATTTCAGCGGCCCATTCTGGCCCGTACGCAACATCTTGCAGCAACTGCGGAAATCCTGGCTGAGAGTTGGGGCCCCGTCAGCGTGAGAATTTGAAGGGAACATTTCACATCCTCAAATTCATTCAGTGTACCTGGGACACAAACTAGCAACCAAACTAGTTAACCATACTCAAACTAGTAAACCATACTTGAACAATTTTAAGACTTGGAATCAACATGAATCAATTCATGAAAACAGAGTCATTTGACCCATCTAGTTTACTTCAAAAACATTTTTTGTCAAAGTTTCGAAAGGGACAAAACAGCTTTGGCATCTTGCTCATGTTACTGGTTGGTGGTATACCTACTCCTCTGAAAAATATGAGTTCGTCAGTTGGGATGATGAAATTCCCAACTGAATGGAAAGTCATAAAATTCCATGGTTCCAAACCACCAACCAGAATCATATCAAATCTCCATGATTGTTGGTTAAATAGCCTTCATGTTCCAAACCACCAACCAGCTTTACAATGGTTTCAAACATGTTTATTTTCCATGATGTATGGGATAATCCTTCCCATTGACTTTCATATTTTCAAGATGGTTATAACTACCAACCAGATTACTACAAGTATCAATAGTAATAATAACACTATAACTATATATGTATATATTACTATCATTAGTGTTGGTTTCTATACTATGGAAATAATAATGGTACCTGTAAGTGAAAACTAACACTATATGTTATAATTAGTTGCCGAATTTCACTTCTTCAAGTTGTGGGCTTTGCCACCATGGTCAATCCACTGCAATGGTGCAATCTTTGGGAGCCTCGTTGCTCCCATTTCAGTGTACCCGCTGGTTATTTAACGGTAGGGAACTGGAAAATCACCACTTTTTTACAGGCAAATCATCATGTTATAATCATCTCTAAAAATGGGCCATGGCTACGGTATATGTTTTTGTACCCAAACTTTGATGCTTCATGCACCGTTGCACCAACAAACCAAGGGCCATAGGATGAGGACGATCAGAAGGCTCCCATGGGTTGGAAAGGGATGTCCAATCCCCATGTCTCCGCTTTCGGCATCTGATACTGCAAATTCACGAAAAATCCCATGGGCTTTTGATCTTTTTCTAGCCTCAAAATTCCATAACTATCTTATGCTAAGCTCTTAGATTTTTTTGTTGGCTCCCCATGCAAAATAGGGAATTGTTGAATATGGATATGGATACTCTTTTGTAAACTCGCCATTTGCTCTTTTGGAGAATCACCATGTTCAAACAAACGCGAAATCAACGAACTAAACAGGCCATGGCTTTCACAGCTATGCAACAAATAACCAAAGCTAATTCCCAAGAATATACATTGTTTATCCATGTTTGTTGCCTAAATTCAATGAACATCACCAGAAATCAACGAACTAAAAGGGGGCTTTCATGGCAAGCCGTGACCAGAGAATACCCTCACCGCGCTCACCACAAGGATCGAAATGATCGCTGGATCTGAGATGCCCCACTGCTGTGCCGTGCTCAGAATTAGAGCCTTGGTCAACACTGTTGATTCCCTCTGGTAATTTAACAGAAATGGCCCATAGAAATAGTTGATTTACCATGATTTACATATGAAAAATGGTAATTTATTACATAGCGCTACGGAAAATCACCATTGTTAATAGGAAAATCCACTATAAATGGGCCATTTTCCATAGCTATGTAAGAAATTACCAAAGGGTGTGATGATGATGATTATCCATTCAGGTGGTCCAGTAATCAATGAACACAAATGGCCAATGGATGGATTTTTTCACGGGTGACTAAGCTGACCTGACTCTGACTCTGACTATGGCACATACCGGGGTATAAGAGAAAATAACAATTATATACCCTCTGGTAAACATACAGAACACTATGGAAAATCACCATTTTCAATGGCTAAATCCACTATTTCTATGGCCATGTTCAATAGCTTTTTGTATGTTTACCAGGCCGGGTAAATCACAGATGTGAATCTCCATTAATCCATATCCATCATGTCTGCCTGAATTATCATAATTCATAGAATTGGATGATGGGAAAATTTACAGGAAAGCCCTATATTTGATGGTAAAAACCATGGTTTCCTGTAGATGTTCCCTTAAACCAACCCAATGAATAATTCACTAACCTGAACATAGCTGAACTAAGGCCAGCTGGGATGATTTCCCTTACGACGTTACGACCTCAAGTTATGATCAAATTCATCCAGATATATATATATATATATGTATGTGCTCTACAAGAAACAATAGGAAAATCATAGGAAAATGGTGATTTAATGAGGGTTTATGTTACCCTCTGGTAAACTAACATGGTTATGGAAAATCACCATTTTTAATGGGTAAATCCACCATAAATCACCATTTTCAACAGCTTTTTGTATGTTTACCAGAGGGTATATGCTCAATAACAACCCCCCCAAAAGATAGGAACGTGACATGCGAATCTAAAACAGTGACAAGCTACTTTTCGATCTTTTCTGGGGTTACCACACACCACAAAATGGCATGATGCGTGATGAGCAACACTGGGGATTTTACAAACCCAAACTGGATGTGTACCTCTGCAAAGGCAACTTAACATTTGGGATATTGCAGCGACTTCAACGATGTGATTTGTACACCAACCGACATTTTTCGCTTCACTAAGAAATTTGATGCCTGTCCAGCCTGATGTTCATGGCAGTTCATGGCTCATCTTGCAGTTGGTTGAGTTACATATAATATACCCAGCATAATATATGTATATATGTATATATCATAATATATCATAATATATCCCAATAAATCTTGATCATCTAGCCATGATATCCGGCCATTGCCAATTGCCAAACAAGTTTCAAAAAGACCGAGGCACTCGATTGGTTTCTTGCAAGTCATATCCTTCCACATCGATACTGAAGGTCACACCGGTATACCTGGCAGCAACAAAAATGCCGGGGCGCATCCCTTTTGATAAATGGGTGATCTATGCCTTTTCTTATTGATAGGATGAATGTGATGTTTGACTATTATATTTTTGACAGGATATATTCGACATATTCACAAATAATTTCGCAACTACTATCAAATAAGTATCAATTATATATATCAAATAACTATCAAATAACTATATTCATTGGACATACCAACAGCTATTTATCTAATAGACTATTGATATAATTGGGATGTGAGGATCTATTACGAACTATGAATCACAACCCCCGATCCGATCCGATCTGATCTTTTGTTTTACATCACCACTCTATAGTCCCAGTCATATGATGTCATATGTGCGGTAACTACATCTAAAACACCGCCTAAATAATAAATATACGGATTTTCAAATATACGAACTTGTATTTTGGACTACCTCTGGTAGTCAAGTTTTCCGAAAAGCCCGTCCAGCCATTTGAACATACGGAATCCAATTTATTTCAACATACATTTTTAATTTTTAATATACAAATAGAACTAGTGTTTATTACTACCTCCGGGCCTCGTGGTCTGGCCCGCCCTCCACATATTTCAATATCGTTACCGTGGTTTCACCTACTTGTTTCCATGGTGTCTGGGGTGTGTTTGTTCAACAAGGGAAAGGGACCACTTGAGATGGAAACCCCAGGTCAAGTCGTTGAGTGCTCAATGGATTCTGCAATGTGGGCCCGATAGCCGGCTATGTTGGTGAACAGTTCAGCTCAAAAGGACTGTTGGGATTATTCTTGGGATATATCGAACTACTTAGATGGGGGTTATAAACCAACTTACAATGTTTGGGGGCCCCACTATGTACTGATGGGTTCTCAATATGAAGGGGGAAAGATCGAAACTAGATGGCTAACATGCACCAACAGAACGGGACTGGGGGCCCCTCTATGTACCCATTGTGTTGACAATAATGTACATAGACAACCACAGAAAATCAGACTGTTGGCATTTTCATCTTACAACATCATTGAAAATAGAAAATCATTGAACATAGAAAATCAGACAATCGTTTTTCACATGTTCTGCTGTCACAATTTACCATATTTATCTTTGGATATGTTCACCAGTGATACCTTGGGAGTTCAATGTGGCAGGGCCCAATAATCAATTTTAATTGTGGATGATCTATACCATCTATTTCTGGAACAAAATGGGTGGTGGTTGTTTTTTGGGACATTGGATGTTCACATAAAAAAGATGGTTTCGACAGTCAAGACCTACCCTCTGGTAAACATACAAAAAACTATTGAACATGGCCATAGAAATAGTGGATTTAGCCATTGAAAATGGTGATTTTCCATAGTTTTCTGTATGTTTACCAGAGGGTAAATCCCATTAAATCCCATTAAACCACAATACAAAGTCTTTAAACCACCATTTTCCTATGGTTGTCCTATTAAACCACCAGAGGGTAAACCATTCATTTTCCGTTCAAAAATGATGAAGTCGGGTTTCCCGTGATGAACCTATGGGGCCCCCGTTGGCCTTCAGGTGCCAAAAAAGAAGTGGCTGAATTAACGATGGTTTATGGTAGATATTAAACTATACATAGCTATAGTATTCATGGGGTTTAGAAACCAAGATATAATCTATAGATCCCTACTATACATAGAATCCCCATTTTTGCTTGCTTAAATTACAATGTTTTCCTATTCACATCATATATCCCATACATTCCATTAAATATTTTGGAGGGTTTTTCTCAAAACTGTGCAGTATATCCTTTAATAGGTTTCTACCAAAACCTCCACAAACATATATCATCATATATATCCCATACATCCCATTAAACATCACCTGGTTCGTGGTATACCTACCCCTCTGAAAAATATGAGTTCGTCAGTTGGGATGATGAAATTCCCAATACCCTCTGGTAATTAACATAGCTATTGAAAATGGTGATTTATAGTTGATTTACCTATTAAAAAAGGTGATTTTCTAAAGCTATGTTAAATTACCAGAGAGTAAAATTCATGTTCCAAATCACCAACCACCAACGTTTGAGGGTCCCATCCTGTAGACATCGCCCCTTTTCACGTTTTGGCGACGTTGGCGCATCGCCACGGTCGAACCAGGGATCCGGGCCTGGTCCAACTCTGACGAGCTGTGGGACCGGCCACAATTTGACCTGAGACGAAGATATGTTGCTGTTCCCTTTGGGTGATTGTTAATTATATATGATACATATATATATACATACATATATACATATATACATATATATACATATATATATATATATGTACATATATGTATATAAACTAGTTATATTGCTATTCCAATAGCATATTCCAATAATGGATTTGTTCATGATCCCTTGAGATTAGTATCCCATAATGGAATATCATTGGGATACTCCTACCCAAGAATAGCGGGTCATAATGGTAACAGTTAATGTTTTTTCAAAACTGGGATGCGCTGGGATTCAATGGGGAATATCATGGGGATAGAATCTGGTTGGTGGTTTCAACCCCTCTCAAAAATATTGGTCAGTTGGGATCATTATTCCCAATATATGGAAAAATAAAAAATGTTTCAAACCACCAACCAGCAATAATAGTGGAATATTGGTAGCCTCCAGTGTCATCAAACTGTTCGATTGCGGAGGAAATCCATAGCCATGGAGGTTTGTTGCTGGGAAAATCCGTCCAGCACGCCATATTTGATTGTCACAGGATAATATATATATATATATTAATGATAAGTAATATCCCATTAAATCTGATTAGTTATCTCATTCTATCCCATGAAATCCCATTAAAATCAGCAATAAATCCGATTAGTTATCCTATGAAAAGCTGAGGATCTCAAGACTGGCGGTTGGTTGATGCCCAATCCTACAATGTGAGGCCCCCGTTCGATAGCTAAGTTGGTGAACATAACTCCAATAACTATGGCACTATGGTTTATGGTACGCAAATAACTATAGTTACTGGGGCGAATCTAAACCAACAAACATAACTGGGGGGCCTCACATTGTAGAATCCTATTTAAGACTGGAATTTAAGGACAACCCCTTCAATTGGTTAGAACATTTCTATGTTATATTTTCGATGGGTTATAACCCACTTCAATGGTCATTCCAGGATCCTAAAATGGAGGTACGTTGGTACCATATAAGGCCATATGTTGTGGGGATATTCCCTGAAAGTTAGGCCTGAAAAATAGGCCTTATATATGGTAGGTACCTCCAATTTAGGTTCCTGAAATGGCCATTGACTTACAAAGTGGGATGAGGTACCAAGTATGGTTGATAATATGTGTCCATTATCCATACTGATACTGTGTTGACACAAATGAACTACCATGATAATGTCCAACAAATAAAATATGTATCAAGATAGCATGCAATATCCCACAATTATGATAATTCAATTATGTTGATGCCTCTCCCTCTACCAAGTACATGGCAAGAAAGCGTTCAATCATCAATCCCATTTAATGTTCCATTTCTGTCAGTCAAATCCGCAGTTTTTTTGCTCAATTTTGCCAAACATTTTGCAGCCAATGAATCTCAATCGTCCATTGTTCAACCCTGTTTTTTGTTGAAATATGCTGAAATGTTCACGCAATGTTCTTGCTTAAATTATCAGTATGATCGGAGAAAAATCATCGGTTTTCTTCATTACATTCTTTCCTTGCTTCGATCCACATTAGTAAGCATAGTTAGTTCACCCATTTATAAATTACCCTCTGGTTATTTAACATAGCCATGGAAAATTGCCCAGTTATAGATGGTTTACCTATTAAATTAAACATTGTTATTTTCCATGGCTATGTTAAATAACCAGATGGTAGGTCTGTCTGAAAATGGTGGCATATCCCCTCAAAATGGCCACAAAAAAACTAGGGAACATCAGGATTCATGGGATCTGGAGGTCTTCCCCGAAATCTTCAGACACCAAATGTAGATCACCCCGTTGTAAACTCGGCTGGACCACTGAGTGGGATCCTTCAAGTAGGCCATTTGCTCCTTTCAAGCAATGTGGAGAGGTCCCACTCAAAGATCAGTGGGATCACCATATATCAACCACTTTGATATTAATTAATATATTATATTAGTATATCTAAATATATATGTATATTTTGAATATATGCTATTTAGCATTATAAAACTAGTTAATAAATCAAATCAACATATTTTTGTTGATACCATTTTTCCCCATTTTTCCCCACTGTTGATTGATCCCCCGACACCACTTGACATCCAAGGCACGCCCGAAGACGGCCCAGTTATTCACCTCGTTGCCTTGGACGCGCCAGGCGGCGGAAACTCGACCCTGCAATCCCAAGGATATTTACAAGCTCTGGATGAATATAGTTGGTTTGGAATTACAATAACCTAGATATAACTGGGGTTTATGGAAATAATCATCTTAACTATGGTTAGGTTGGGTTTAGAAAACAACTTATATAACAACAACTTATACTTTCCTAGGATCTGCTTAAGGACCCCCCAAAAAAACAATAAAAGAGAAAATCCTAGGAGATTCCCCTTTCTTGGAAAAACAAATCATATTAGGATTAGTTGCGTAATTACGTGGATATAATCTTATCTTAGTTTTAATTTAACCGTTGGATTAATTTATAACAAGTATTGAGTGATGGAAAATCGTATAATTGCACATAAACTAAGTGCGGGTACATCTCGAGAACGGATTGACACATTGTTTTTCTCACTTGCTCTTTGGGAGGTAAAAAGAAAAGCAATTACTACGAAATCATCTATTTACGTGGTAAACCAATCCTTTCTTGATGGAAACGGGAAGATCATGTTGAACCATTCCCCAACTTGTGAATTTGGCTAAGACCACATGCCCATTGTTCAGACCAAATACTCTTAGATACCTGGCATGCTCTTTTTAGCTGGTCAGTATCAGTATCAGTGTATGTATGTATGTATGTATGTATGTATGTATGTATGTATGTATGTATGTATGTATGTATGTATGTATGTATGTATGTATGTATGTATGTATGTATGTATGTATGTATGTATGTATGTATGTATGTATGTATGTATGTATGTATGTATGTATGTATGTATGTATGTATGTATGTATATACACTGATGTTGTATATTTGTGTATATATAAATATATAGCCGTATATACTATGTTTATACATACATATAATATATATATATATATATACACATATGTATATATATATAGATGTACTGGAAAATAACACACACTGGATTAAAGTACTCAACCACCCAGCCAGTCTGTTCCTCGCATCCGCTGTTTTCGGTCTGCTGGGCGCTGGGACAGTTGGAGTCGCAGTAACAGGCGGCATACCAACCAGGCCTAGGCCGAACTCGTTAGATGACCATATTAACCGACAAACAGAACGTGACTGGGGGCTGACTATGTACGACATATATATATATATATTATATGGATACTGGAGATTCTGGCATGTTGCTATACATATACTACTGATATCTCATGATCTTCATGGATATTATAGCATAGATATGTTTTGGTTACAGTATGGATATACTGTGGATATCGTATGGCTATATAGTGGATATCTTGTGGATTTGCTGGACATAATGATCCCAAACCTAGAGTCGCTCAGCCCCTCACACGGAGATCCGAATGTTTGCGGCACAATCGGGTGGATCCTTGGTGGGTGATGGGTGGTTCATGGTGGTTTAGCCAGGGTCAAAATGAGAATGTGATCCCATGGAAATATCGAGAAGTATATATTATTATAATTTCTACGTATATATATATATAACTTACATGTACATACATAAAATGATGTATATAAAAGCAGTGAGTGAGTATATATAGAGAGAGAGAGACTAGATCCATATAGTAGCTATATCTATATACAAACATCGTGACTGTAACTCGCCCTGGCGCTCAGCTCGGCACAGCAGTGTTGCAAACCAAGCCATACAACTGGCCCTTGGGGCGTCCCGCATCCGCTGCCTGGTGAAAAATGGGTTTTGCCGAATCTGATCCAGTTTCAATGGCTACATCTGTCATATACATAGATACATATGCTTACGTATATAAATATGAATATCTATGTGTATATAACGTATGTGTATATATATATATACATATATGTATGTACATGCATACGAATCTATATGTATATAGATGTGTACATGTGTATGTACAAGAATATATATATATATATGCAAAAGAAATGTATATGTACCTGTGATTAAATGTATATGTACGTGTAAGTATATGTGTATACATTTAACGAAATGTGCATATATACATATATATATATATATATACATAAATGTAGTTTTATTTTTATATCTACAACAATGTGGTGCCCCCAAGATATCTAAGTTGGGTTAGATATTCCGATTGAAAGCCTCCAAGATTGTCTGTGGCTCCGTATAGTCGGTGTTGCCACTGACCTCGACACAGGCGCCGGCTTTCTGGTGATTGAAATTGAATGGTGGTTTCATAGGAAAACCATAGGAAATCCATAGGAAAACCATAGGAAAATGGTGGTTTAAAGACTTTTTATGGTAATTTATTTAAATATATAACGGGATTTAATGATGATTCTGATGAAAGGAAATTTAATGGTGATTTACTGGGATATTTCATTCAATATTTATGAGACAGTCGTACAATATTTATGATTAATGGAAACTGGAAGTTGAAGAGAGTGTATCCTCTGGTTCTTTAACGGTTTGCGAACTGGAATATCACCATATTGAATATGTAAATAAATAATCCTTTTTATCATTGAACTGCACGGGCCATGGCTTCCATAGCTATGTAAAACAACAATAGCGTAAGTTGAAATAATATAATTAACTACCTACATCCACCTACAATATCATTGCATCAAGGTTTCCACATCTTTCCATAGATCCATGAATGAAACCATTTACAACCAGAGATCTGTTTTGACGTCCACTGATGTTACAGTATTATAGACCATAGACCATCTACCTTCGATATGGAGGTTTCCAAAGTCATAGGGGTACCCCCAAATCATCCATTTCTAGATTGGATTTTCTATGAAATAAACCATTCATTTTTGGATATCCCCATCAATTTAATGGCTCATTTGTTGAGTTCCTGGTGATTTAAACACCATTTACCATTTACCGTTGCCATTCATCACCATTTATATCATTTATCACCATGACCCCATGTATGGAAACCCCCATTTTTTGTACCTGTGATCCCTAGCGAAAGTTGACCCAAGGGATAAGAAATCACAAAATCTCAACGAGTTGGTGCGGTCTTAAGTAAAAGCTCCAAATATGTCGTATGTACCCCTATGTTTGGCATGTGTATTATGACTGTTATGATTACTATTATTGTGATGATGGCTATTATCATTACCCTCTGGTAAACTAACATAACTATGGAAAAACACCATGTTTAATGGGAAAAATCACTATTTAAATGACAATTTTCAATAGCAAACTGTTGACATAACCAGAGGGTATAGTGTTATTATGGGGTATTTCCAGGTGTGGGCTGTTTGACTCCAAGTCGCAGTAAAACCACAAATCCAAGTGGTTTAGATGGTTTTTTTTGAAACCTCAACATGGATACAATCGGTCTATAGTATGATTTTGCTTAGTTTTGACCCACTTCTTTCAGCCATATCTAATGAAATTAGGACAATATCACCAAGCTGAAAGGTTCAGTGATGGAGTGATGGCTCCTTCATCCCGTAATGGACATCCTTATAATAGCTTATAATAGGTATAGAATGGTATAGACATCCCTATCGATGGATTGATGACAACCACCTTCTCTTTTGGGAACACAACCAATCTTTTGACCATAGCACATACAGCAACCACAGTCCACCCAATATTTTGGGATGGCTTCATTAGGCCGTTGCAATTCAAGAAATTGTGCGTAGACCCAATCCGTTCACCGTGACGGATGATGAATTATAAATCCTCAAACGTATCATCCCAATCTGAAAACCCCAAACATGCCTGGACTCTCAAAATGAACAGATCTAAGAATAAACCAGGAATGTGGGTAAAACAATGCCTTAAACCATCCCCCAGATCACCATAAACAGGTGGTATGGTTATCATTCCAATATATGGATGGCTTATTGTTGTTTTACCCACATGACGTAGCCGTAAAATGCTTGGTCTATCCGTTTATCCCTCATTTTTGATGATGACGAGATGGGCCTGAGCTGCCCCACCAAGCGGTGACCAGAAATGCCCAAAGGCTGCGGGGTGTTCAAACACGACTCTTTGTCCACGTTTCCATCCTGGACATGTTAAAAGGAGTTAACAACTGTGGTGCATGGCACAATGGTTGCGAGTGTAACTGCTGTTTAACAGAACCGGTTGTACATGTGTATATAGTACATACATATATATATATATATACGATGATATGAATATCATGAATGAACAATTGGGCAGCTAGTGGGTAAACTTTGGTGAATGCTTCACAAATATATTGATCTTTTAGGCGTCTTAGAATTGACATGAGGGCCATCTGCAATTATCCCGACTCGCAAACTTCATCATCTCAATCTGGTAGGGGCTAACTATTGAATTAACTGCAAGGGGGCAAACCCAATTTCAAAAACCATTCCCACTTGGGGTTTATCAAATTGCTGGTTGGTGGTATATCTACTCCTCTGAAAAATATGAAAGTCAGTTGGGAGTATTATTCCCAATATATGGGAAAAAAGAGTTCCAAACCACCAAGCAGTAAACAATAGCATTTTGTAAGTCAATCTGCGTAAAGTCAAACATCACCTGAAACGAATGGAGGAGGGATCAATGTGGTCTGCCTAATGAAATGGCAAATCCGTGTGCCACCCAGTCGAAAAACAAAAACACTCACATCAATGACACTTCATACATAGAGGGGTGTATATATGCATTGTGCACTATATATATATACACACATACATTTGGGTATTCTACATATGCATGTGTGTATAATTGTATATAAATATATACATATACGCAAACACATGGTTCTTGTATGTGTTCATTCATGTCGGTAAATCAACACTTACTGCTCGACAACTATAGGTCCTGCACAGAAAGCATAAACGACACAACATTTACACAAATTAGTGCCACACCATGTGCAGCAATTTTCTCACAAGTAGCATTATATTTTACATAGATAATTCCAACAATATATAAACTGTAATATGGATGTGTCTAAAAACGGCAAAAAAAACAAAACAGTATAACTCCATACTTATATACTTGCCACTGAATGGGGAAGATTACCCTCTGGGAAACTAAAAAACGAACTGGAAATTCACCATTTCTATTCGGAAAATTCACTATTTCTATGGCCATGTTCAATAGCAAACTGTTGACATCACCAGAGGGTATGATATATGATAATCCACTGGCTTTTGGAGCATCCAATTTTCAGAGACCGAGGAAGTTCACCTCAAACTTAGCACTGGTTGGTGGTTTCAACCATCTTGAAAAATATTGGTCAATGGGAAGGATTATCCCATATATTATGGAAAAAAATGTTTGAAACCACCAACCAGTAGCATTTTCTACTTGGAGGATCATAACCATCCTGTGAGCCATGAAAAAATAGCCCTATCCCATGCCATCCTGGTTGCTCAGTAAATATTCCGATTACGGGTGAGTTCATGATAACCAATAAACCAGTTAGTATAGCCCCAACCAAGTAAGCTATCAACAGAGCTGGGTAAATTGTCATATTTCACGTTCACCTGAATCTTGCGGCCAGAAAAGGGCATGATTTCCCAAAAAATAACCATGATTCCAGGCTTCGGGAGAACAGGCTTCGGTCGTTATAATTTACCCATCGATAGAGGTATTTTTATGGCCCAAATGGGTCAGAACTCTGGGGGACTGGCCTCGACCCGGATCCCATCATGATCCGAAAATAGCAACATGTCTTCACAAGGCGGGCATAGCTTCGATAGTCAAGTTGCTGTATTTCACTCAGTGAATTAGATTAGGGCCTATAGCCAGTTATAACTGGCTCAAAAAACATCATTTCTGGTTGGTGGTTTCAACCCCTCTGAAAAATATTAGTCAGCTGGGATGATTCTTCCCAATATAAGGAAAAATATGAAATGTTCCAAACCACCAACCAGATTTAAGTGATATTTTCACCCACCAACCATGATACAGGCTCATCAGTGATAACTGAATATATTTCATCATATTTCAACAACCTCATTCTGGATATTACAGTAATTTAAGTTCTAACTGGCTATACTTGGTGGCTCATCCCACTTAGTAAGTGGGTTAGTTCACCCCAGTTATAAGTCCATTTATAGGGTGAACAGTGAACTACCCACAATTACTAAGTGGCATGAGCCACCAAGTAAGTATCAATTTTAATCCGTTCACAACCTCATTCACCACTGGAAATGAATTTAAGTTATAACTGGCAAAAAAGTGGACAACATTCTACAGGATGGGGCCCCAAGATAAAGTTCAGTTGGCTTGCAAATGGCTAAAAATCTATGGTTTATGGTAGATATAACTATAGTTAATGGAGTTTATAAACCAAAAAACATCACTATAGTCTATAACTAGAACTGGGACCATATTTATAGTTTATACACGGCTGTTCCCAACTAGTTTATCACTATAGTTTATAACCAACCTAACTGGCGGCCAACAAGTATATATTATATATATTGTTGATTAGTTATAGGTACATCCCATTAAATCCCATTAAGGTTCCATTAATTCCCATGAAAGTCCCATTAAATCCTATTAAATCCCATGAAAATCCCCACGGAACTAGTCCCGCCGTCCCTGGGACTCCCCTTAGCCCCCCCCGCATCGTCTCTCAGGAGTTTCATCTCGCGCGTTTTGGTTTCAGTTCCGCCCGTCCAACCTTGGGGTCTTCATGAAGAGTGATTGTCAATGGATTGACGATGTTTTCCGGTTAAGATTTTCCCTTAAACCAATCCTGGGATAGAGGAGATAAAAAGCCCGAACGATTTTTATTGGGATATAAATCAGGTTTTTATGGAATTTTATTATTGGGAGGTTTTTATGGAATTTAATGGTGATAGAATGTAGCCGTCAACTTGAACTTGGAATAACTTTTGGAAAGAACATGTGTTCCCAAGTTGCAAGGAGACTTGTTCTAAGTACTGGTTAGAACATGGGTACTTAGAACAAAAATCAGGTACTTAGACATTAAACAGAAACAGCAGTACTTAGAACTATTTGGGTGTGATGTTGTTTGATTTGTGATGAGTGTTGTTTTGGTAGGTTTCTTGCGGTTCATATTTCTTGCAGCGACATGTCTTCCGCAGTACATATAGCACGATCGTGTATATCAAGTTGATAGTAATGAGTGGGTAGCAACCACGTGCAAAAACTCATTTTAGCTTACAGGAACACATATTTGGAGCCTGCAAAACGGTCCTGATATATGAGCTACATGTGGCAGTTTAAAGTTGATAGTGATGAGTGAGTAGCAACCACGTGCAAAAACTCATTTTAGCTTGCAGGAACACGTACTTAGAACATGCAACACATTTGTGATATGAGCTACACGTGGCAGTATAAAGTTGATAGTGATGAGTGAGTAGCAACCACGTGCAAAAACTCATTTTAGCTTGCAGGAACACGTACTTAGAACATGCAACACGTTTGTGATATGAGCTACACGTGGCAGTATGAAGTTGATAGTGATGAGTGAGTAGCAACCACGTGCAAAAACTCATTTTAGCTTGCAGGAACATGTACTTAGAACATGCAACACGTTTGTGATATGAGCTACACGTGGCAGTATGAAGTTGATAGTGATGAGTGAGTAGCAACCACGTGCAAAAACTCATTTTAGCTTGCAGGAACACGTACTTAGAACATGCAACACGTGTTGATATGAGCTACACATGGCAGTATAAAGTTGATAGTGATGAGTGAGTAGCAACCACGTGCAAAAACTCATTTTAGCTTGCAGGAACACGTACTTGGAACATGCAACACGTTTGTGATATGAGCTACACGTGGCAGTATAAAGTTGATAGTGATGAGTGAGTAGCAACCACGTGCAGAAACTCATTTTAGCTTGCAGGAACACGTACTTAGAACATGCAACACGTTTGTGATATGAGCTACACGTGGCAGTATGAAGTTGATAGTGATGACTGAGTAGCAACCACGTGCAAAAACTCATTCTAGCTTGCAGGAACACGTACTTAGAACATGCAACACGTTTGTGATATATGAGCTACACGTGGCAGTATGAAATTAATAGTGATGAGTGAGCAGCAACAACGTGCAAAAACTCATTTTAGCTTGCAGGAACACGTACTTGGAACATGCAACACGTTTGTGATATGAGCTACACGTGGCAGTATGAAGTTGATAGTGATGAGTGAGTAGCAACCACGTGCAAAAACTCATTTCAGCTTACCGGAACACATATTTGGAGCATGCAAAACGGTCTTGATATATGAGCTACATGTGGCAGTTTGAAGTTGACCACGCGCAAAAATTCATTTTAGCTTGCAGGAACACGTACTTAGAACATGCAACACGTTTGTGATATGAGCAACACGTGGCAGTATGAAGTTGATAGTGATGAGTGAGTAGCAACCACGTGCAAAAACTCATTTTAGCTTGCAGGAACACGTACTTAGAACATGCAACACGTTTGTGATATGAGCTACACGTGGCAGTATAAAGTTGATAGTGATGAGTGAGTAGCAACCACGTGCACAAACTCATTTTAGCTTGCAGGAACACGTACTTAGAACATGCAACACGTTTGTGATATGAGCTACACGTGGCAGTATGAAATTAAAAGTGATGAGTGAGCAACAGCCACATGCAAAAACTCATTTTAGCTTGCAGGAACACGTACTTAGAACATGCAACACGTTTGTGATATGAGCTACACGTGACAGTATGAAATTAAAAGTGATGAGTGAGCAACAGCCACATGCAAAAACGCATTTTAGCTTGCAGGAACACGTACTTAGAACATGCAACACGTTTGTGATATGAGCTACACGTGGCAGTATGAAATTAACAGTGATGAGTGAGTAGCAACCACGTGCAAAAACTCATTTTAGGGATGGTGATGCGAAAAATGAAGGTGTGTCAACATGTGTGGCACCTGCCTTGGGGGATGGACGCACTCTTAATCCATAGAATCAGATGCATATATATATATATAGCCCAACTTCTTGATGTGAACTAGTCTTTGTCTCCCAAGGATTGATGAATGCCATTCATATGCATATATTTATATTATATATTATGTGTATTTTATACATATATATATTATATATATGCATGTTCTAAGTACAGTTATTCCAAGTACCAGATTGGTCTCGTAATGGCTTTATTCTAAGTACTGGTTTTCAAATTTTGGAAACATATTCTAAGTGTAAGTCCGTGATTATAGTCATTTAATGGTATATTATATATATATTGTATAGAAAAGATAAAAATAATAAGACATAATGTGGATGATAACCTGGGAAGATCAACCATTAAATGTGGATTATATCAAACAAAATGTTTGAAACCAACAAGGATTTGATTGTTTTAATGGGATTTGATGGGATTTTAACTGGAATTAATGGGATTTTAACTGGATTTTAATGGGACAATCTATGTTTTCCTTTAACATTTCCCTGAAACCAATCCATAGAGATTGGGATAGAGGAGATAAAAAGAAGAAGACATGATCTGGAAAATCGCTGGGATTAATGGCAATTTGATGGGATTTATGGCAATTTCATGGATCTTCAAACTCCCAAAATATGGTAATCTGGTTGGTGGTATACCTACCCCTCTGAAAAATAAGATAGAGGAGATAAAACGCCCCACCTTAACGGTTTTTATTGGTCTATAAATGAGGTTTTTATGGAATTTAATGGTGATAGAATAGTCATTTAATGGTATATTATATATACATTATATTTAGTGATAAAAAAAAATACATAATGTGGATTATAACCTGGGCAGATCAACCATTAAATTGTGGATTATATCATGAGAATATCATGGGAATATCATTGGGGATATAATCTGGTTATAATCACCCAGTTTTGTAGGTAAATATACCATACATTGCCATGCATAGTAGAACATATGGGAATGTTTATGGCATTGTGGAATCCACATTCACTGGTTGGTGGTATACCTACCCCTCTGAAAAATATGAAAGTCAATGGGAAATATTATCCCATATATTATGGAAAATAAAACATGTTTGAAACCAACAACCAGCAATTAAAGGATAATGATAATGATGATTAAGATAATCTGTAGGTTATTTGGAACTTTATACGCGAATTATTTCATGAGGATCACACCTTGGGAACCAGAGATTTGTGTCTATGGATGTCTATGAGTCTATGGTTGGAGTTGACTGTTTTTCATCCGTTTTTAGGGCTACCCCATTTTGATGTGGCTATGACATAATGAGTCAAAACCTTGTGACCCCAAACGCCACCCATTCAGATATCTGGCTGCTGGATGTTGATTTTGACCCATGCCCATCTGGGAGAATAGCTTGGGCTTCACTGAGGAAGCCGCTCCTCAAACAAACCAAAACCATCCTCTAGTAATTTGTTACATACCTATTGAAAATAACCATTTGTAGTTGATTTTCCCATGAAACATGGTGATTTTCCACTTCGTTATGTAAACGTTTACCAGAGGGTATTCTCTGATGATTCTCTTGATCAGTTGATAAACACACGTGGATTTCCGGACACATGCCCAATTCTTCATCGCAAATCCAGCGTGGGGATTGATAGGAGAAAAATGTGGATTCAACGAATGAAAATTAGGATTGCACGGGATCGAAAAATGGGAATCTATGGATCTGGTTGGTGGCTTTTCGCCCTACCCCTCTGAAAAATATGAGTCAGGTGAGATTGTTGTTCCCAATATATGGAAAAATAAAAACCGTTCCAAGCCACCAACCAGGAAAACATGTAGCTTACAAATCACAGGGAGATTTGCAAATGAAGCGTTTCAATCAGCTTGAGATGCCTGGAACATTGGTGGCTTTCACCAATTGGGTCAAAATTATAGACACAAGGCCGCAAGGCCTATATTTTTTTGCACACTGTGAACGGTGAACCCTCCAATTGTTGGTCGTCAAACTCCACTCATTCGATGACTCTTGCGGTCATGGCTATCCTTTCATGTGGATGTCATGGCTATTCCTTCATGAAAATGTGGCAATGACTATGTGGTTAACCAACGTTACTCTCCTGTCCTTCAATAACATAGCCATTGAAAATCATCAGTGTGAAGTTCGGTAAATCATCAATAAATGGACCATACCCATACTCATCCATTTTTGCGTACATTTTCCATTATACCTCGATTTATATAAAAAAAACTCTGGTATACCTAAATCACCCGTTTACATATATGATTTTCCTAAAAATGGGTGATTTTCCATTTAGGAAAATCACCAATTTTTCGTGGTTTCACTCATCTTCCAAACCCCAAATCATGGCAGGGTCAAAACGAAAGCGCTTCGACTCCACTGGGCAAGTCCGACTGCCCTCAATGGGAGAAGAGTCAGTACCCATGCCCATGAAGACTAAGAGGCGTCCTGGCGCAGGAGATTTCATGGGATTTTAATCGGATTTATTGCTGATTTTATTGCTGATTTTAATGGGAATTAATGGGATTTTAATAGGAATTTAATGACATTTATTGCTGATTTTAATGGGACTTAATGGGATTTTAATTGGATTTAATGGTGATAGAATAGTCATTTAATGGTATATTATATATATATATATTTATTATATATTATTATATTACATCTGGTTGGTGGTGCAATAACCATCTTGAAACATATGAGTTCGTCAATGGGAAGGATGACATCCCATATATGAAATGGAAAATAACATATCTTTGAAACCACCAACCAGACATGTATTGCTGATTTTAATGGCAATTAATGGGAGTTGATGGGATTTAACGGGATATAACTAATCAACGATGATTAATATTGATATATATATATAACCCTTTGACAATCAAACATGGCTTGTTGGAAAACCCAGCAGTAGTTCAATGATTTGCCCAGCGAACTAAACCTCCATGGCTAAGCCACGGGGATTTCCAAGCTATTTCAGGATGAGGTACCTTCCTTTTCATCATGTACATTGTGAGGTCGCCCGCTGGGGTCATTATACTTTACCCAGAATATCCTATCTGTTGATGGTTTGTTTGATTTTGGGGCATTTTGAAAAACGGAGTAGTTCAATTGCATTTTTCCCAATAGATGTGTCAACATGTGTCAATCAAGCTACCAAAGGCGATGAGACAGGGACTCGAACAAAAGATATCAAAGCTACTGCTGAGCGCCAACTGTAGATCCATCCTGACTACGGCCCTAGATTGGTGCTGTCTGGCCTCAGCAAAAGGTTTAGTTTAACCAACCATTCGCAAACATTGATTTGACAATTCAAATAAACACCACAATTTCAAGAAATACATATCCGAAGCATGGATTAAAAACAAAAAGTTTGGCAATTCAGAGAAATCATCATCATCATCATCATCACCATCATCAACATCACCATCATCATCATAAAAATGATCATCACCATCACCATCACCATCACCATCATCATCGTCATTATCATCACCATCATCATCATCACCATCATCATCATCACCATCATCATCAACATTCAAAGCAATCATCATCACAATTCATAATATGGATACAATAGATGATTTTCACAAACCCCAAAGGGGTACTACCCCTATAAGTGCACCATTATTGGAGAATATTAGCCATATATATTCCTTATTTAAGCCATGTGTCTGGGGTATGTCCTATTCGGATATATGAACATATTCCATTACAAGCCCTGTCGCACGACTCGAAAAGTATCTAACGAGTCGGTTGACCCAGTTTATACTTGATTTCTGATTTACCTATTAAACATCATGATTTAAAAGTGATTTAAAACATGGTGATGTCTGGGTATCTCTGGGTGCCTGTGTTCACAATGGCAGGATTCTCACCAAAGGATCCAGTCGTATAGTCCTCAGCGTGACTGTTTGAAGGCTGATTATCCCTTACCTTTTGGAACGCACGGATCTCATATCATTCTATCATGTATGTATTAATTAATATATGTATTGCATGTATATAGTTGATATGTATATATATATATGTATTATAGCTATATATTATAGTTAATTATATATATAATTATATATATATATGTATATATAAATACACATATATATATATTATGTACACCTTCTATTATACACAGTAAATATAGACATGCAGAAGACTCTACGTCTTGGGAAAGGTCGATTTTTTGGGGATTCCGTGATCAACCGAAAACCATGGGTGACAGGGGATTGAATTGATATGAGTGAAACCAACCTGGTTGTTTTTTGGATACGTTAGGAGGAAGCCCAAAAAACATATCTGGTTGGTGGTGCGTTTTAACCATCTTAAGAAATATGACTTCGTCAATGGGAAGGATGACATCCCATATATGAAATGGAAAAAAAAAAAATGTTCGAAACCACCAACCAGTTATGATATACCATTTAAAATGGTTATATATAAATCCCTATTAAATCCTATGAAAAAACCCTATTTGAAAACATCACCCAAACGGAGATTCCCAATGGTGGATTCACCGGGAAATTTCCAGAATCAGATCTTTTTTCCTGTGAGCATCAAGAACGGAGTCAAAACTAAAAATGATCATTGCTGCGTTGGGGTTGCATCCCACTTAGTTAATGCCATTTAAAAGTCACAAAAAAAAAATCATATAACTGATAACTGTTCAAATATAGCTGGCATATACTGTCTTGTTCCACTTAGTAAGTGGGATGCACCTCCAAGCATGGCACATTCTCAACAGCCTCGAAACCTCTCAGCTTTTGCACACCGAAACCACCTCTCCAACCCCAAACCCTCAACCCTAAATTGTGCAAGTGAGCAGTGTTCAAAACCCGAAATGTCTTCCCTTTATACTAGCTGGTTCTGCATCCAAGGAAAAACCTGGGTCTGGCCGAAAACTGTGGTCGACGGCTGGCAAAACCACATCGATTTGAAAAGAAAGCTCGGCCTTGACAAGAACCAACCGGCTTGAGCACCGGTCATTGCACTGTGCTGGAGCGCTGCAGGTGGGTAACCTGAAACCGTTAAGAATTTGGGTGTCAAGGCTTTTGCAGAAAACGGCGCCCAAGTGCCAATGGGTTCTCTATGTATGCCAACTCGGTATTGACAACAGGCCTTGGTCCTTCGTTGCCAATGTCTTCTCATGGGCTCCCTGCAGACTTCTGATTACAATTCTGGCTACGCATTCCCGTCCATTATATCTCAACATAACATGTGTGACAACAGCGTGGGATTGCTTGCCGGTGCAACCTCGCTGCGAAGCTCTTGCGCAAACGTTCCCCAGCAGGCGACAACTCTTTGGAACAAAACAATGACACAATTGATCAAATCTAATTTGCGCAGTTGTGCGCTCTACCTATAGCCGAACGTCTCGTCAACCAGCAAGTCGTACACCGAACCCTGCGAAAACTCCCGTGTGTAGGTCCCCACCATGCAGAGGATTCCTTGCGTGCCACGTCGGAAGCGCTCGCTGATAGCCTAGCAATTCGGTTGCTTGAAAAGCAAACGCACGTCCCAAGATGTCCCAATTACGATTCGCGGTCGGAGTCGAGCGTGCTTGACGGCAGCACATTCAGACTGCTTGTCTGTGCCGCCCTGCTCCTTGATGGTGTGTCCCCCTGCTGGATTCGAAGCAGAAAACTTATTGGCGCCCTAGCCCTGACAAATCGGGGTCTGTCAGTCTGTCAAGACAGAAAGCGTATGGCTCACCAACTGTGTCTAAATTCTCGAAGCTAGGACTGAAGCTTGTAGCAACATTCTAAAAAAGCATGCTCGTTTTGGTGCTCGTTTTTGTTGATGTGTTTGAACACAAGACATGTGAGCGTCAGCGTTTAGTGGATGGGAAGAGAACGGGATTTTTCAAACCCTACCTGTTCAATTGAGAACGGGATTCCCCAATGGATTGTGATCTGATAATCCCTGATATATTGGCCAGTACAAACATCAATCAATACAAGGTGGTGCCCCAGTTCGTTAGCTAAGTTGGTGCCAATAAGTCCAATAACTAGGGTTGATTAGGGGATTATATCTATAATAGGGATTATAAACCAACAAACTTAACTGGGGGGGGGGCACCACCTTGTAGGGGTTTTGAACACTACTCAAGCGGCTCGCAGGTCGGGTATGTCCTTTGATATCCCTTGATATGTCTGAGTTGTCAGAGGGTACAACATGGCATACATAATCCAATTACTATCCAATGTTAATTCCCCATCATTGACAAATTCTGGGCCCAAAATTAAACTCTGGTTCTATGCTACCATTTCCTTAGATGGGTAAAGGAAGGACCCCGGCAATTTTCCATGATTTATAACATTTATATATAATAAGCCAATCTAAGTACTGCTAAATCCATCATAGACCCCACTTGACCACCTACTAGTTATAAACCAACTGACCTATCACCAATCACACCTCAACCTTTTCTTGATGAAGTCATCTGCCAAATCCAACTGCCAAATACCCTCTGGTTATGTCAAACATAGCTATTGAAAATGGCCCAGTCGAAATAGTGGATTTTCCCATTAATAGCATGGTGATTTTCCAGTTCGTTATGTAAACGTTTACCAGGCCGGGTAAATCCCATTAAATCCCATTAAACCACCATAAAAACTCACTAAACCACCATTTTCCTATGGTTTTCCTATGGTTTACCTATGGTTTTCTTGGTTGTGGACACTCCCCATCTCCAAAACCCAAACTTCTCCAACGCCAAGGGGCGGTGGTGAAACGGGTGACGACTGGCTCTACATCCAGGGTGCCAGCTTTGAACCAATAGACCGAGTTGAGGCAGTTCTCATCGCAGTAGCAGACCTCAACGACAACCGGACCGCGGTCCAAACACTCACCCGACTGAAGCCCTGCCGATTCGTGGTTTTGGTGGTTTAACATGGCGAGATATCCATCTGACATGGACAGTTGTGCGAGGATTTTGTCAAACATGGTGATTTAAACCAACGCAATACCATTAAGCCCCAGTACATATCATTAAATACCTACACCAGTAAGTCCCACTAAGTACTATTGAATACCATTACCATTCAATATCATCAAATATCATTAAACCATTAAATCCCATGCGCCCATTTTTGTTACAGCCAAGAGAAACACACATCCCTGCAGACTCCCAGACTTGAAAGAGTCTTCCTGCAAGTGGTACAACATGGTACAACCCTCAGAAGCCAATCATACAGGATGGTGCCTCCCATTTATATGTTGGTTGATAAACCCCATGAATACTATAACTATGTATATAGTTATATCTACCATAAACCATAGAATTCAGCCATTTTTTTTGGCAACTGAACGCTAATGTTGACCTACGATTTATAAAACTACCCTGAATTGTGCTATTTTTTTTCCCAAACTAAATAATAAAACTACCCTAAATAGTGCTAATTTTTTTTGGGCCTAAACCCAGATTTGCCCAGATGGGGCTGATTTTGTTTTTTCCATGCTTTATTTGAGGTGGCTTTCATGTACTAATTCATATTGCCAGCTCATTAGATCTTACCTTGATAACTTCAAATTTTCAAAAATAATGGTTGCTCTTTTCTATTCAAAACCTTTATTCAAAATTATCCAAAATCAATCCCAAATCAACTCGTCAAGGGTACCCCCCATGAGGTGCCTTGGCACTAATTAGAGTTTGACCCTGAATAAAGCTAATTGTTTTTGGCCCTAAACCCAGATTTGCCCAGATGGGGCTGATCCCGCCCTTTCCATGCTTTATTTGAGGTGGCTTTCATGTACTAATTCATATTGCCAGCTCATTAGATCTTACCTTGATAACTTCAAATTTTCAAAAATAATGGTTGCTCTTTTCTATTCAAAACCTTTATTCAAAATTATCCAAAATCAATCCCAAATCAACTCGTCAAGGGTACCCCCCATGAGGTGCCTTGGCACTAATTAGAGTTTGACCCTGAATAAAGCTAATTGTTTTTGGCCCTAAACCCAGATTTGCCCAGATCCATGACATCAATACTAAATCAATACTAAATCCATGACATGAATACGAGATCAATACTAAATCCATGACATGAATACTAAATCAATACTAAATCCATGACATGAGTACTAGATCAATACTAAATCCATGACATGAATACTAAATCAATACTAAATTCATGATATGAATACTAGATCAATACTGAATCCATGACATGAATACTAAATCAATACTAAGTCCATGACATGAGTACAAGATCAATACTAAAACAATTGCTGGATTCCTTTTTTTTTGAAATTGCATTTTATGTATTTGTTTTCAATTGTGGTAATTTAAAACCTCTACATACAAACAAGTTTTATGGTGGTTTTAAGTTTATTTAGGGTCAGAGAGGGAGGGGGGGGGGGCCCTATTTATAAATCAGAGGTGGACATTATTAAACGGGGGCCCCATCCTTGAACTTGTGGCTTACATTTTTCCTGAAGCTGGATTTCTTATATTGGTTTCTTTGAACATGTGGCATCCCCGCATCCCCCCAACATTGCAAAAACATGTGGTACGAAAATCACCCGCGTTTTTTTGGGGTGCAAAAAACCATATCCGCCATATCTCGTCATTTGTCTGTTCTACATATAGCACCTACTGTATGTGTGTCACTGGGGCATTGCTCAAAAAACACCATCAGAAACCCTTCAATCAGAACATATCACTAAACATTTGGATATTATTTGGATATGTAATGTATATATATATACACATAGTTATTCAATGATGCTTAGTTTATGCTTGAGTTACTATCGTGTGGCTGGGGAACTCAATTTCCAACTGACTCCCTATTTAGGGAATGTGGAGACGCCGGCCGACCCGCCCGGCTCTCAGCTCTAAACTTAATCCATCCTGGATAGCCATTGTAAATCCCTATTGAACCCATTAAGTCCCATTAAGTTCCAATAATTCTCATTCAATCCCACTAAATCCCATGAAATCCCATTGAACCCCCATGAAATCCTATTGAAATTCCGTGAAATCCCAGTGGAATCCCATGAAATCCCAATGAAATCCCCTTGAAATCCCATTGAATTCCGATTAAAATCCCATGCCCATAGCATATCCCCAGTTTGGCCAAGAGAACATCATAGCTGGAGGCGATCATCACCCGATTCTCATAGCTCGCATCTACCTGAACCTCACCGTTCAGACGTTCAGAGAGGGACGATCATTTTCTGGCGCAACTTCCACCGTTGGCGATCATTGTCCCAGATGCGAACCATGGTGCTGGAATATTTACCTACAAAGCTGGGTGATTTTTCGGGTAAATGTAGATAAATATTCCAACACCATGGAGCATCTGGGATTGTCCAAAAGAAGTGAGAAAATAACGGAATATTTCTGGATGTTTCCTGAACTAATGGGTTAAAATATGGGACACAAGTTGGTAAAATATGGATCTAATGAAATGACTCTAGTTTACCAACTTGTATCAATTATAAAACCATTAATTAGATGGATTGGTAAAATTGATACAAGTATCCATTGATACAATGTGAGGCCCCCCAGTTATATAAGTTGGTTTATAAGCCCCAGTAACTATAGTTATAAGTACCATAAACCATAGTTATTGGAGTTATAAACCAGCTTAGCTATCTTGGGGGCCTCACATTGATACAAGTAATTAGCCATTTTACCAACTTGTATCAATTGGACTAATCCACTGCATCATGGATTTGCATCTAGATGCCATGGGCGGAGGTGCATCGACCACTGGATGATGACTGGGGCTGGGATGCACTTGGGAGCGATTTGGCGTAAGAAAAGTCAACCAAAAGTCAATTGAAAAAACCAATATCATATGAGGATAGTTTTTTTTAAGGTAATGTATATACTCATGTTTGTCACTTTTTTGGGGATTTTTGCTGGACATATTCCAAAGTTCGGGTAATCTTACCATTCTTGATCTATATTCACTCTGATTTTTGTGTAATATTGCGATGTTTGTTGGTTCACAGCAGGCATACAGACATGCACAGACCTGTTTCCAAAGGATCGATTTGGGTCACCCTTAACAGCCTCTTGCTATTGATTGATTTTCGTGGACTATGTTGATCATATCTGGTTGGTGGTATACGTACCCCTCTGAAAAATATGAGTTCGTCAGTTGGGATGATTATTCCCAATATATGGAAAGTCATAAAATTCCATGGTTCCAAACCACCAACCAGTTGATCATATCGTTTGATCGTCTGCCTACTGGTCGTTGTGGACATCAAGCAGCGGAATATTCAGGACATAAACACGTCATCCAGCGTCCTGTCCGTCATTTTGGAGGGAACCCAATTCTTGGAGTTGCTTAAGGGGTCCCAAAAGAAGATCAATACAGGATCCAAGATAGCCAAGTTGCCTTATAAGTGGTTTAACTATGGTTTATGGTATATAACTACAGTAGTTTACAGTATTCATGGATGTTAATGGAGTTTATAAAGCAACACACATAACTAGGGGGCACCATCCTTTTTCTGGGTGTGTCTGAACATAAGCTACCTCAAAATCTAATGTTTCATCATAATGCTCCCATTAAAAAGGACTACCATCTGGTTATTTAACATAGCTATGGAAAATCAACATTTTTTAATAGGTAAACCATCTATTTCTATGGACCATCTATTCCATGGCTATGTTAAATAACCAGAGGGTATTTTTTGGGGGGCTACACCATTTTCAGGTCCACACCCATTTTCAGTTGAAGACCCATCAAACACTCCCGTTTGAAGATTGCCAATAGCCAACCAATGGCTCATCTTTTAGACATAGATCTAAATGGGATACCCTCTGGTAAACTAACGCCATCGATGGAAATAAGTGGGTTAATAGTGGTTAAATAACCCATTATATACGAAGAATAATGGTTTAATAGTGATTACCCTCTGGTAATTTGTTACATAGCTATTGAAAATGGCCCAGTTGAAATCGTTGATGACTACCCAGCTAGAAAAGGGTGATTTGTTCCATATGTTTTTGTATGTTTATCAGAGGGTATCCCAATCTCTAGTAGACAACCTCCCATCTGTCCTCATGCAGGACCTTGAGCTGAAACATCAGAGATACGCAGTGCTTAGCTGTACAACTGTGTCAAAGACCAACCACCACTAGTTAATGGGCCTTAAAACCAACAAACATCACTATAGTTACCGCTAGAACTGGGACCATATTTATAGTTGATGCACTGCTGTTACCAACTCGTTTATCACTATAGTTTATAAACCAACTTATAACTGGGGGCACCATCCTGCAATGTTTAGCGAATTTTCCCCATGGGAAAACCCAGGGCTCCAGGGCTCCCAGCATCCAGGAAGGTGGGGGCTTTGCCAGCCATAACCTCCTCGGGTAAATCGTAGCCTGAGGCGACAAACATCCTTTTTGATAGGTGGAAAACCTACATTTGAATATACATGTATATCTATATATGTTTATACACGTATGTATGTATATATATATATACGCATATATGCTTATGTATATATATATGTCAGGCCGCTAGTCACAACATGCTTTTGACATGTCTACCAACTAGTCATAAGGACATGTATATATATATATAATATACTTTGAATCATGTCTATACCCAAATCTGCATGGCACAACGAGAGTTGATGCGACCGGGAAGCTCCAACCTAATTGACTGAAAACACCAAATTCGATACGACCTAATGCCCTAACTGTACAGAGATTGAGAGATAGGAATAAGCAATCTGCTTGCATCAATATACCCAATTTTGGTGGTCAACGCCACTGTTTCAATGGTATCCCCATCACATCACCATCTAAGCTGATACAGCCATCATTTTCTGGACTTGAAAGCTTTCTTATGTGTTTGGAAGGATTGCGGTCCTTGGTGATGAAATTGCTCTTTTTCATATTTATATTTATATTTTGAATCCCCATACTTGTTGGTGAATATCCACAACTTAGCAGTGACAACAACTTTTCATAGCATCCCATATAAGCATCGTTTGACATGTTATTCCCCAAAAAGCATCATTTCTGCTTAACAAAATCATCAGTTCTGGCTAACACACCTTATTTTTGTCAATAGATCTACCATTTTCTGAATGGCCATTTCAGGAACCTAAACTGGAGGTAACTACTATATATAAGGCCTATTTTTCAGTGCTAATTTTCAGGGAATATCCCCAACAAAATATGGCCTTATATGGTACAGTCCCTCCATTTTAGGATCCTGAAATTCCCATTGATGCAATGATATACCATGATATACCCATCAAATTGGTTTATTGATATTATATACACACCATTGACATATTGCCAACCATATTGTTAACCTTATTTTTCTCAATAGATCTCCTATTTTCGGGATCTTAAAAGCCATTATGACACCTTTATTAACTATAGGTATATCTACCAAAAACCATAGTTAAATCAGAGTTAAGCCCATTGAATGGGGGATAGGATTATGCCATTGGGTACCGCGTTGGAGTCGGATGATGTAACCACCATCCCATCCATAGAATTCAGCCACTTTTCTGGGCTCCCGCGCAAGTGGAGGGCCCTGCGCAGTTCAACGGGCCAAGGTGACCACCGAGGACCTGCAATCTGAGGCATTTCAGGAGCCTAAAATGGAGGGACTGTACCATATAAGGCCGTATTTTGTGGGGATATTCCCTGAAATTTAGGCCTGAAAAATAGGCCTTATATTATATGGTAGGTACCTCCAGTTTAGGTTCCTGAAATGGCCATTGAAGGAAGTTGTGGAGAAAAAAACAAGAAAGTTCCAACATATGGTGAAATATTTGGTATAGTTGGTATATAAGTATATAATATTTGGTATAGGGGGTATATACTATACCAACTAAAAACTTTAAGTTAAAACCCCGACTTAAAGTTCTAAAATATGGGAAATGGGTATGATATACCAAGTATACATTTTTGATATTTAACATAAAATACTTGGAACTTGGGGTCACTTTGATACTTTCCCTGCCATGGCTGATATAATTGACTATGGACATTGAGGATGATTGAAATTACATGAAATTACTGTAATTTCCATCTGGTTATTTAACATAGCCATGGAAAATCACCATGTTTAATAGGTAAACCATCTATAAATGGGCCATTTTCTATCGCTATGTTAAATGGCCAGAGGGTATATGTACGAATCTGGTCACTCACGAATGACACCAATGACGCACTTCGACCATATTCGTACTTATTTAGCAATTGTTGAATATGGGTATCAACATGTGTCAAGGAAGATTTGCAAAGCTCCCCGTGTCCTCAGTCCCAATCAACAAATATCAACGGTTCTTCGATTCTGGATAGTGGGCCAAATCCCAGATGCTCCATGTAATTATGGAATATTTACCTAGATTTGGGCCATTTTTGGGGTAAATGTAGGTAAATATTCCATACATGGAGCATATGGGAATATAGATATATACAAACGTGCATCCCAGCTCTGAAGTGGTTCATACAAATGCAGGTTCTTAAGCTTCGTCACGAATCATGACAGCCTGAAGGATGGTTGGTTGATTGTGAAATGTAAGTTGACAGTAATGTGGATAAAACAATACCATAAAGCATCTCCCAAATCACCATAAATAGGTGGTATGTTTACCATTCCCAGTCATGGGCATGGGTGGTAAACATGGCGTTAGTTTTACCCACATTAGCTTATGTTGTGTGAATTCTTTCTCGTTTTCTGATGCTCTGGCCGAGTCTTGGAGAATGCTTACTCAGGAAATATTGTATATATCATCCGAAAAAAAAAAACAATAGTAGTTTGATGTAGTTTGCAATTTTACTGATTAAAACTCTTAAGATCCATATCCCATATGCTCCATGTATGGAATATTTACCTACATTTGGGCAATTTTTGGGGTAAATGTAGGTAAATATTCCATACATGGAGCATATGGGAATTAGTTGGTCCAATTTTTGTTGCTTCTGCCTGCGCCCCATCCGTGACCGTGCTCGCTTGTGGTAAGAAACGACCTCGGCTTCTCAACAACGGAAAGCCACCGACATTTGGGGGGTTCCATATATGGGGGTACCCCAAAGTGAATGGTTTATAATGGAAACCCATGAAAATCCCATTAAAATGGATGATTTGGAGGTACCCATATTTTAGGAAACCCCATTTGGGGGGCCAAAAACCATGGTAATATACAATATTTGCAAAAATATAGCAATCATTATCGATCCGTTGTGTTGATTTGTGAGAGAAATCCAAACAATATGAAAGTGAAATTTTGGAGCATTGTTCCACTATTATGTAGGGAGTTAGGATTATCTTAGGATTGGAAAAAACACAAAACATAATAAAACATATTTCAAAAAAACAACTAATCAGATCTGATAGGCAAGTTCTAGTGTTCATCGTATGCTTCACTGGTCTGCACTGGTCTTCACTTTCTCACCCTTCACATCCAAAAGAATCAAACTCAAAAACATGAACAAACTTAATCTAATAAATTGAACTGAAATGAGAAAAAACATAAACATCAAAAACTTTATCAAACTCTGTTCAAACTCAACATCCAATCAATTTAGTCGCTGCAAAAATGTTGAAGAAGGATCTCCAAGTCACCATGGGTGACTTGGATGATTTAGAGCTACCCGTATACTTTAGGAAACCTTTATTTGGATACCCTCCGGCCTCCGGTAAACTAACGTAACTATTGGAAATCACCATTTTTACTAGGTCAATCAACCATAAATGGCCATTTTCAATAGCTTTTTGTATGTTTACCAGAAGGTATTCAGATTTCTTCACTCCAGCAGTTCTTGCCTCAGACCATGTCCCATCTGAGGTCCGCAAACAGCCAGCATCGGGATCGTAGTAAGGCTGCAAAGCCAGGCCGAAGGGCGGGTCACCACGAGTTCCGGAAGAAAAATGACGTTTTTTTCAATACCACTTGGTGGGTTATAACCCCAGTAACCCCAGCTATAAATGTGATAAGATTGTGATAAGTAGGGTTAATCCACTGGTTAATTCACTTATGATTCACTTATGACTGAGGGTTAGAACACGCTGTTTTATAGTGGGATGAGCCGCCAAGCAAACACCATGTTTTTTTGTTTGTGTGTGCTTGGCTTATTATCAACATGGTGAATCTGATTTATACCTGCAAACATATATTTATGTTTTAGCTGGTAAATGGACTAATTTTTCCACTGACAGTGTAGACAGGCGTTTTTTCAACTTCTGGGTTGATTTGAGTATGGGTCAAAACCAGTCGTGGTACCCGTGGGTTCACCTCAAAATTGCTGGGATTTATCGGATGTGAAAACCCCCAGATGTATCTTGACATGTTTTGATACATCCCCATTTTGTATCACTTGAAATGGGATTCTATCGCAACAGCTGGTTGCTGGGCAGTCTTTGAACTCCAAAAAACCGGATGGGCAGTGTTCAAAATCCAGAAATGTCATTCCATTGAATCCTGCTTGGTTAAGAACGGGATTCCCCTGGATTATTATCATCCCCAATATATAATATAACTGGTTGGTGGTTTTAACCATCTTGAAACATAATTATTAGTCAATGGGAAGGATTATCCCATATATGAAATGGAAAAAACATGTTTGAAACCACCAACCAGATAAAGGCTAGTATAAGCCAAGCCCATATTCTTTTAATCAACCCTGCCAGGGGTGGATCGCAGCCACCGGATGTTTGACCCCGCGTTCCGCGGCACCTTGTAGCTCTCCGATGAGGAGCGGATGATCTTATATCTCGCATCCGTCCCGGTCTGGCCGCGCTGAGGGGTAGGGTACCTGGGTACCTTCATGGAAAATCGATCCATTTCGATAGCGGTTTCTGAGTTCACAAGAAAATCACTGTTGGATTGATTAGGGGAACTATAGTTAGGTGGGGTGCTTAACCAACAAACACAACCTTTGGGGGCCCCACCATGTACAATTTCAGACAATCGTGCCATGAAAGTTGTACTCCTATCCCATCCCATGAAATTCTGGTTGTCAGGTGTCCCTTTTTCATTCATTGCGAGCAATGTCAAAATCCCCAAGAAACAAGGTACGTTAATAACTCCCAAATCAATCATCAACCAACCGTCGTTTATAAATGATATAATTCTATTTCCATATTCTTGATAAAGTTGAACAGGTTTGTTCGATAAACGATTTCTTCCACAACAATTTTGTCAAACACAATATGTTTAACCGTTGATAAAGTAGAACTCCGACAAAAGATTGTGAACCACTGAAGGTTCAATCCAACCAATCTGATGTCGACCCCGGAGTACGATTGTGACCCAAAAGGGCTGTTTCATTGGGCAATAACCATTTTAGTAGCAGATTATCACGATTTTTGGGCTGGTTGGTGGTTTCAACCATCTTGAAAAATATAAGTTCGTCAGTTGGGAAGGATTCTCCCGATACATGGGAACATAAAATTCCATGGTTCCAGTCACCACCAACCAGGTTTGGAGAACGCCCTAATTTTTCTCAACCAGGGTCTATTGATCGGTGCCTTGACTTGATCATCCCACCGAATCAAGTAAATTTTAAACAAGGGAAGTATCCTCTGGTAATCAAACATGGCAGGAATGACTCTGGGAACATCGAACTACCCTCTGGTTATGTCAACAGTTTGCGAACTTGAACATGGCCGAGTCGAAAGTTCGTTGATTTTCCCAGCTATAAAATGGTGATTTTCCAGTTCGCTATATGGCTGTTTACCAGAGGATAAATGGGGAGTTTCCAGCAAGCCACGTTTGATGACACCGTTGCAGGTAAACCAGGGGATTTTGAGGGGCCACCCAGCAACCTCTTGGCCGGTACCCTTAAGACATGCCAGCGGCCGCTGAGCAGCCGCCAGAGACCGAGTCTGGCTCTTTGTTCAGCACTCCGTCGTGGCCGCAACTGGGGGAACTGCAACTGCACCCAGGAAGACCCCTGAAACAGTTGACTGGTTGGTGGTATACCTACCCCTCTGAAAAATATGAAAGTCAGTTGGGGTTACTATTCCCAATATATGGAAAAATCAAAGTCATGTTCCAAACCACCAACCAGTTGAGATCTGGGTTTTGATAGCTTCTATGGGACAGTGATTCCCAGATTCTTGGAGAAACAACTGACCAAAGGGGGAAGGTTCTAAATATGTATCTATATATAATATTCACGTTGTCACAGATATACGCCTTAAAATGTGGACAAGATAGTTTGTTTATAGCTCCAAAACTATAACTCCAAAAACTATGGTCCATTATAGTATAGAGTATATAGATATAACTACAATATCTTTAGTATTCCTGGGGGTTATAAACCAACTTATAGTGTGTGGGGGCCCCAACTCGAATATGTTTTATCCTAATTTATTATGAGTTACCCCTTAAAGATCTTAAAGATCGTGTTTTTCCAGTTCGCAGATCTTTAGATTATCAGACGGTATATCATTATATACCCCATTAATACGCTCTGGTAAACTAACATAACTATGGAAAATCACCATGTTCAATGGCTGGGTAAATCAATTATTTCAATGGACATTTTCAATAGCAAACTGTTAGTTTACCAGAGGGTATCCATGGTTTTCCTACAACAAAAATCCATTGTTTAGTATATATCCCCATTAAATACCCATTAGTCTATCCATGGTTTCCCTTAGAAAAGTCACAGTCTACCAGATTCATAGTGCCCCCCTGGGTATCCGCACTTGATTACAAGTCCAAAGCGCAACGTGGGGTAGACGGTGATGTCTCTCTGGGCCACCGGCAGCGATGAGGGTTTTAGGGTGGCTGCCCCAAGATGACCAATGGGAAACTCTGCGGAAACATACTCGGAAATACTGCAAGATCATGGGAACTATCCCATATGCGAACCATGGTGCTGGAATATGCACACCTACATTTAGCCCAAAAATTGCCCAGTTTTGTAGGATATGTAGGTAACTATTCCAGCACCATGGAGCATCTGGGTATAAGGAAATCACAGGAAATCGTGATAAACATTGGGATTTTGGGGTGCCTAACTGTTGGAAGTGCCAGTTACCCGGTTTTTTTAACAGCATTTTCAGACGCGTCCAGAGTCCAGGGAACCATCTGACGACCAACCTCCCCCAAGTTAACTGGCATCATCCGGCCAGGTAGTACACCACAGAATCCCAGATGAGTTCACCATGGTGCTGGTATATAAAACCTACAAAACTGGGCAATTTTGGACAAGGGCAAATGTTGGGATTCATATTCCAGCACCATGGTGAGCTAATATGGGAATGGTATATCTGTGGCGTACTAGAAAACCATATACCATTCTGTGCCATACACCATTAAGTATTTAATAATCTGATATGGGCATAGGGACAACCCTCCAAAGTGTGTAATTTCGTTGCCACTTCTGGAACCGGACTGCGGAGATTAGGAAAAAAACATATCCAAAGATCGTGTGTTATTTGAGGTTCAAGCAATGGATTTGGTGAATATGCTATAAAACATCTTATACTCAGTATCAAGTTGCACTAACTAGCATAATTCAGCATGATCAAACCTGAAAATTCCTTGGGCCGACTTGACCATGACTTGACCATTTTATCTATACCCACCGCAGTAGAGGGTTGGAGGGTTTGACAAACCATCTGTCCTCCGTGACTAAGGTTCCCGACGCTTCCTGCTTGTCCAATCAGTGACTCTACCTTGAAGCACCAAGGGATACACAAATAAACGCTGTCGGTCATTACATCATAGGGCCGTTGTGTTTGCAGGATGAGGCTGGACAAGAAATTTAAAAGAAGCTGGGAATCAGATTTAAAAATTACACCGGCAAGAGAGCTCAAACATTGTGGGGGGTAGGAAGCTAATGTGCGAGATACAAGCAACATTAGGTTTGACACAACCGTAGCTGCAGCAGCAGGAACTTGTTTTGTCTACTAATCAGGACCTCAAAACAGCACCCCATCCCAGGAAACCTAAGAGAATTTCACAAGATCGTCAAAGAAGGACCTTCAATAAACTTCAATAAACTTCAGTATAGATCTATATAGAGGACCTCACAAGATCTTGATACAAGAACTTCCTATGAACATCCCAGAAAAACTGTCATACAAGCACCAATGCAGAGCATCTTCAAGATCTTAATGCAGGGACCTCTTGAGGAGGATTTCAACAGGACCTCCGCAAGATCTTCTCACAAGGACCTGTACGAGATCATGCAAGGACCTCTGAGAGGATTTCGCCAGGATCTGTCCAAGAGCTTTTCACAAATAATTGTAAAAGACCTTGACCAAGATCTTCATATATTGCAGACCTCTAAGGTTGCGCCATGAAATTGGCACAAGATTTAGGAAAAATAGACGCGCATTTAATTCCCAATCGGCGAGACCACACATCGGCGTAATTAAAAAAAATAATCTAACCTTTACCGTAAGGGGACTTGCCGGGCTAAAACTAGTACTAAAACTAATACTAGAACTGGTACTAGTAGCAGTAGCAGTAGCAGTAGCAGCAGCAGCAGTAGCAGCAGTAGCAGTAGCAGTAGCAGCAGCAGCAGTAGCAGCAGTAGCAGTAGCAGTAGCAGTAGCAGCAGCAGCAGTAGCAGCAGTAGCAGTAGCAGTAGCAGCAGCAGCAGTAGCAGCAGTAGCAGTAGCAGTAGCAGCAGCAGTAGCAGTAGCAGTAGCAGTAGCAGAGCAGTAGTAGTAACAGTAGTAGTAGTAGCAGTAGCAGTAGCAGTAGTAGTAGCAGTAGTAGCAGTAGCAGTAGCAGTAGTAGTAGCAGTAATAGTAGTAGTAGTAGTAGTAGTACTACTACTACTAGTAGTACTAGTAGTACTAGTAGTACTAGTAGTACTAGTAGTACTAGTAGTACTAGTAGTATTCTGATTTGGATATGCATGTCCCACTTTTTGGGATCATGCAAATACAAAAAAAACAGGATGGTTTATTCAAAAATTCGCAATCTCACGCATTGGTTCCATTGGTTCCAGCTCCTACCATAGATCATCAATTGAATCGGCTGTTGTCATTGGTTCAATGGGAATTCCAGGATCCAATTGATGGAGGTACGTTAGTACCATATAAGGCCATATTTTGCTGGGATATTCCCTGAAATTTCGGCCTGAAAAATAGGCCTTATATATGGTAGGTACCTCCAATTTAGGTTCCGGCAATGGCCAATGATTGGTAACAATAGAAGTTGGCAGATTACATCTATGGTGGTCGTCTAATACTGAAAGTGGTGTGTCAGTGATCACTCAGGGTAGGTGGTATCCGAATGCTTTCAATCGGCTCTATAGGTGCTTAGTCCGAGAATTTTGTGGAACCCACCCTTAAATTTGATGAAAGAAAAACGTTTTTTTCCCTATAGAAAGGGCGCTAACTGGGGGTACATATGTAATTATACATAATATTATAAAATGTTGTATATCCCATTACACCTCCATTCCAATCAAGCTTGGTGAAGCCCATCTGTTTGTTGCTTTAATCCCGATAGAAAACAACAAAGAACGGGGAGATCCTCCACGCTCTGCTGTCACCCGTGCCGAGCTGCATTGATCACGATCAACCGTCCAATTTCCTGCCGAAAGTCCTGTGGCGCCTCAGGGCTCAGGGGGGGAAAACGGCTAAGACAGTGGTAGTCATGGGTAGATGTAGATGACATGGCCACAACAAAAAGTGTTTGTTTAAGAATGATGAGCACACCTGTCAGTCTACCAGTTTTTAAGTTGGTTTATAATCTCAATTTACCTAGTATTATAATATATATATATAACTGGTATAGAGGAAAAGCATCGACACTTTACCTTACGCCCAGTAGAGGCCCAAGGATTGTGCGATGATCTGTAAAGTTCACATCCGTCGGCTACTGTGGTGTCACTACTCTGCTGCACTTGTGCAGTCAGCAGCATACAACACTTGTTTTGTTTTAGCTGTAGTTTAGCCAGTTGTACAGTATCACATATGCTCCATGTATGGAATGTTTACCAACATTTGCCCTGAAAATTGCCCAGTTTTGTAGCTAGGTAAACTTTCTAGCACCATGGGGCATCTGAGTATTCTGGTTTACAAAACAACTGTTGACATGCCGATGATACAGTTGCCATATTTTTGTTGAAAACCTTCGTAGCTCGTAGGTCATCCCTGGACTTGTAGAGAATGCAACTTGACATGGCTAGACTCTATTAGACTCTCAATAGATCTTCCAAATTCCATCAAACATCCTAAACATACCATAAAACATGGGGTTTAAATATGTTTAAATGGTTTAAAACACATATTTTGATGGCTACTTGGAGGATCTAGCTTTAGCGCCGAATCAGCAGTGGCGAAAAAAGTTCACCCTTGGTAAGAAAAGTCTCCCATAGTTTTGTTGCTATACCCATAAAAAAAAATGTATGGTGATTCTATGTGATTCTATGGGTATTTTTTTTTGCTATCACTTATATATATATATATATCCTCAACCCTACAATTCTATCAATTTTATCGCTTACCCTCTGGTAAACTAACATAGCTATGGAAAATCACTATTTTTAATGGGACAATCGACAATAAATGGCCATGTTCAATAGCTATGTAACAAATTACCAGAGCGTAGTTTGCCAGAAGCGAAACATCTGGGTCAAATCTTGAGCTGAAAGCCCAGGTAGCAACTGGTCAATAGGCATCTTGATAACATCCAAGTGTAAAAAAAATGTCAGGGACTTTCTTGGCAAGTTCCATGAATGTCATCAAACATGTTGTGAACTATGCTGATTATACGCATATATATATAATCCTATTGTATTCCCATGAAATTCCTGTTATTGTTGGTGAATCCCCCACTTTGGGCGCCTATGCATGCCTTGCCCACGGCCCAGGACACCCAGTGCCAAGAGTCTGCGTTGGAACAGACGGTCACAATACCTCCCCAAATCTCGGATGGTGCCCCCAAACGTGATGTGAATGTTGGTTTATAAACCCCCATTAACAATAGGAAATCTATGGAAAATCTATGGGAAATCTGGGAAGTTATAAACCATTGATGGGAAATCTATGGAAAATCTATGGGAAATCTGGGAAGTTATAAACCATTGATGGGAAATCTATGGAAAATCTATGGGAAATATGGGGAAAGGGTTTATTAACCCCAAGACTAGTTCGTTAGATCTACCATAAACATCCATAAACCACAGAATTCGGAATGCAACTGAACGCTATCGAACAAGGGCCCCATCCTGTATAGTCAATGGGGGTTATAGACCTCACCTTGTATATATACATGTATCTGGGCAAATTATAATCTTTCACTAACCTGAATTAAGATAATCTTGCGGCCAATTCGGGATGATTTCCCTAAAATTCACCATGATTCCAGGATTCGGTCACAGTGAGGTCGTGATCAAATTTACCCAGATATGGTTGGGAGTCGCAATTCACCCATATTAACCACTATATTATATATAAACATCTATTCACCACTATTCACCACTATCACCCAGGATTTTTTCGCATCATTTCCATATATACCCGGTAGACATGGCAATGGACTATCCCCGCTCTGGAGGTTTCCAGCAAAATCCTCGAAGTATGGCTCGTGGAAAAACGCATCCAGCTGCTGTGTTTGATTTCCGCATCGCATTCCAAGTTATGGCAAAGTAATAGTTGGTACAGTGATGGCCCAACTAACAGTTAATTTTATGGGATCATCATGATATATATAACCTCAGTTCTAGGAGTTATAATCTAAAAATAACTGTTAGTTGGGCCATCACTGTATGAAACCAGCCTTCACCCGAGTTTGCTCAGATGTTTTTTTTGCTGATGATTTCCCAATGTCTGTTGGATCCCAAACTCAATTGTTCTTGGATGAGTGTCAATGTGTGTTGCTTTGATCAACACGTGTTGTTGGTTAAAATCTGTTTTTTGCTGGTTAAAGCCCCATCTTGTCTTGATCAAGCCACCATGGTTGATTGTTAGATCCACGATTTTTTGGTTTGCAATTCCCCACCCTTTTTTGTGGCTAACATCCACACATTTGGTTGGTTGAAGCACCCTTTGTGATTGCTAAATCCACATCATTGAGTTGGTTAAACCAGCATCATCTTCAAGGGTTACATTCCACATATTTTGCTGGACCAAAACCATGATCTGGTTGGTGGTATACCTACCCCTCTGAAAAATATGAGTTCGTCAGTTGGGATGATGAGAAATTCCCTTTTCTGAATGGACAAATCATCAAATTCCATGGTTCCAAACAACACCAACCAGTGATGTGTTTTTTTAATGTCACAAACACCCAGTTGCATCAAATGATGGGCAAAACCTACAGATTTGCTGGGCGAAACATATCCTGGTGAAGTGAAACCATCTGTGAACCAACACTATAGGTTTTTTGGTGAAAACCAGCGATTTGTTGTTCGCATTTTACTCCAAACATATGATAAATAGATTATACACATATTAAATCAACAATATATCATCAACCATACATGTATATATATATATATATATCACCCATGGGTTTTACCGATGAAATATACCTCTTCGTGTCTCACCTCCATCGGCCGCGCCGTTGTCAAAGTCAAAGCCCGCACAATAGCAGACTTTCCAGACCTTGAAAATCGCTCGTTTTGGGATCATCATCATCATCATCATCATCATCATCCCAACTATGCTTGATCGAAACAAGATCGTTGAAACCATCCACCAAATACCAGCAAAATACTGAGAAAAAACAAAAAACACAATATAGACCATCTATCTATCTACATATATCAAATGAACATCAAGAAATATCACATGGTGTATCTCTGAGTTCACAAACGACATCACATACCCTCCGGTAAACTAACATAGCTATTGAAAATGGCCATTTATAGTGAGTTTTCCCATTAAAAAGGGTGATTTTCCATAGTTATGTTAGTTTACCAGAGGGTAAGCGATAAAATTGATAGAATTGTAGGATTGAGGATAGATAGATATATATATATATATATATAAGTGATAGCAACAAAAAATACCCATAGAATCACATAGAATCACCATACATTTTTTTATGGGTATACAAATACATGTTTTTACTTCCCAATCAACCAGGTAATCATCAAACAACCATCATTCATGGAATCTATCTCCATGGCCATTGTTTTTTAATAAACATCCCCCATCTCCAACTGACCAAAGCTCAGCCCGCCACTCCCAGATTGAAACCATCCTTGAGAAGTCCAAAGTTGTGGATCTGCACGGGGACACGAAACGGAACCCCGGCAAACCGGTAAACATGATGTTATATGATGTTGAAGATGTGGAGATATCAAGCATATTTTCTAGATGATTTTCCGAAACTATAGGTTTTCCACATCTACTTTAGTTTACCAAAGGCTACCAGAAGTCAACTTGAAGCGCTTTGGCTTACATTTTTCTGCGGTTTAGGCAAGGTGTGCAAGCTTTGGGACCTCAAAAGCCGGATGCGTGCCTGTTTGGACCTTGACAGAAGAAACAAACCGTCATGCATCATGTATAATCATGTACATATCATATAAATCGATAGATGGATGGATGGATGGATAGATAGACAAACAGACAGACAAATAGATATTCATATACAGTATACAGTATTTATTTATATATCATACCATCTATTCATATCTATTCCACCAATCAGAACATGCAGTGCGTGTACCTGTGAAGCTTCCATTGTGCAACTGATATTGTTTGGACACCCGCTAACGACCTCGTAGCCAATCTCATTCTGCACGTTGGACACCTGCAATCACCATGGAACTGAAACATGGAGCCCTATGTTTTGCAGAAGTGGAGAGAGTTTTCCACTGGAAAATGGAACAGATCCACTTCCATCAAGCTACCACTTGTGTCTGAAGATAGGTTACCTCCAAGTTTGATGTCTTACCATGGCCAATCTTAGATAGCCTGCAAAAAAAAATAATGTTTGGCTGGTTAGTAGATAATCCCATTGATACCAGAAGACTAAAGGAGGATTAGTTTCTACCCATCCAAGATTGACCTGCAGGATGGTGCCCCCAAACGTGATGTGAATGTTGGTTTATAAACCAGTATAACCCCCATTAACTATACGTTGTTATATCTACAATAGACCATAGTTAAGCCACTTATAAGGCAACTGAACGCTATCTTGGGGGCCCCATCCTGTGTATAAATTACTCATTAACCATTACCCTATCACATCACCATTTTTCGTGGGAGAATCAACTATTTCGACTGGGCCATTTTCAATAGTTTTTTGTATGTTTACCAGGCCGGGTACCATTCTGAATCCAGTGATGTCATGACGTGAGGTCATTGCAATTAATCCAGAAATTAGGATAAACTAACTCAATGGATTGGTTCAAGGGAAAATGTGCAGGAACACCCCATATTTAATGAGAAAATCTATGGTTTCCGGTAAATTTTCCCTTAAACCAATCCATCAACTAACGTAGATGTAGAACAACATCGATTGTTTTCCCGATCGGAACACCGTCTACTTAAATGGTGATGTTTTTCCACATCTTCTTGTATGTTTACGCAGGATGGGGACCCCAAGATAGCTAAGTTGCCTTGTAAGTGGCTGAATTCTATGGTTTTTGGTATATGTAACTATAGTATATAACTATAGTATTCATGGAGTTTACAAACAAACAAACATCACTATAGTTATAACTAGAACTAGAACCATATTTATGGTTTATAACTATAGTTAACGGGGTTTATAGTTCTAAACATATTTCGATAGAAACACGAGCGTCACGACCGGTGCCTTGTCCACAAAGGGAGCTGCATCTGAATTTCCGCAGGCCTTCAACAGCCACAACAAACAGCCAGCAGCCAATGTACTTCGATATATCTATACATATGTAATCATATGTATATATCTATATACAGTGTTAAGATTTCGATATGCCACATATACACATAATATATATATATACATAGCTATATATACATATAGCTACTGTATATAGATATAATATCACTCTATATGTATATTATTATGATGATGATCCTATTGGATAGTTGCATAGCTGAAACTATGCACCATGCAGCACCTCGTTGACGTACGTCAGACTGGAACGCCACGGTGGATAGGCAGGATTGGGCCTCATCGGTGAAGCAACGGAGAAATCAAGGGGGAAACCCATCAATGGATTCTGGTTGGTGGTTTTAACCATCTTGAAAAATATTAGTCAATGGGAAGGATTATCCCATTTATTGTGGAAAAAACAGTTTGAAACCACCAGCCAGGATTAGTTTAAGGGAAACATCTTAACCAGAAACCATGGATTTTCATGGATTTTCTTACGACATATGAGGCTTTTCATGGTTTATAAGATTAAATATGGGGTTTATGGGGCTATAATTATAATGTTATATGCACTCGGTACCTGACAATTTAGGGAAACTCATCAAATTTTGATGATTTATTATCATTTTCCCATGAAATATAAGTTTGGTTATATATCCGATTTGCAAACACAACACGATGACAATTGAAATAAATTTGAATGTGGAAAACATGCGAAACACATAACATCATAAAACTATAAAGCCATGAGATTTAAGACACTGATGAAATGATTAGAAGGTCTACGTCATTCTACGTCTACGTTGTTGTGTTTATTCCAGGAAAAAAACATCATGATCATCATCCTCCTCCTCATCATCATCATCATCCTCCTCATCATCATCATCCTCCTCCTCATCATCCTCCTCATCATCCTCATCATAATCATCATCATCATCCTCATCATCATCATCCTCCTCATCATCATCCTCATCCTCCTCCTCCTCCTTCTCCTCCTCCTCCTCATCATCATCATCATTTCATCCTCCTCATCATCATCCCCATCATTCTCATCATCCTCATCATCATCATCATCAACATCATCATCCCAATTTCTAGGCTGGAAATTACAGAACCATCTTTGAGGTCAGGCTCCCTAGGTTTGACATAACTTGCTTCAATCGGATTGGGGGATATGGCCTCTTGAGGCCCAAAGTACTCTAATGATCGATCAGATTTCGGGATTTGGGAGGATCGTTTTTGGAGCAAACCTGTGTGGCTCGCCATTTTTTCGGTAATGATGTTCTAAAAAATATCTAGAGAAAAATATTCTAGATATTCCAAAATCCTAAAAATATTCTAGATTCTAGATAATGACCTAAAATATTCTGAAATTATCTAGAGTGATGTTCCTTTGGGAGAAAACAAAATGGAGTCGCCGCAATATCTCGACAGCTTTCCTTATATCTCATAAAAGCTGCCGCCACATAAAACTATTGCAACAGATTCAGGTCCCCCAGCCCCAAAGTAACCAGTTTGCCCCTAAATATCATAAATTCAAATAATCATACGTAATCATCCTAAATTCGATAGGAAATATGGGGATGTTCAAAGCTATTCCCGATGACATTGACATGTTCATCTCCATATTCTATCTCCTCCAGGATGGCATTTGATATACTGTATGACGTAAACATCATTAAATAATGGCGTATATCATATTCCATGTATTATACACCATATAAACATGATACAAAACATAGTGGTTTTGATAAAATATAGTCAATATGTTTTTTTACCCATATGTACAATATATGGATATATGGTTGGTGGTTTCAACCCTCTGAAAAAAAGTCAGTTGGGGTTACTATTCCCAACTGAATGGAAAGTCATAAAAAACATGTTCCAAACCACAAACCAAGTATTGTTAATATCTCAGTATATCTTAATTATTGTCACCTGGCTATTTATTTAGTATATGGATATATATATATATAAAAATATCAATATGTATATATATATATATACATATAAATAAATATATATATATATATATATATGCACCAGGCCCTGCCACCCCCCCTCCCCCCCCATGGGATGGGTCCCATATACTGCCCTCCCCTCCCTGTGGTGTGGTGGGGGTGTGGTACTGTCCCCCTCCCCCCCCTGTGGTGTGGTGGGGGTGTGGTATGGTATGTTGGGTATGTATGGTGTGTATGGTCGGTCTGGTATGGAATGTTTGGAAAGTATGGTATGTTTGGTATGTATGGTAGGTATGGTATGTATGGCATGAATGGTTCGGATTTTATGGATGGTAGGTATGGTATGTAAGTCTGTTGGGTATGGTATGTTTGATGTGACAGTATGTATGGTCTGTGTGGTCTGTATGGTTACTATGATAGGCATGGAATGTTTCCTATGTAAGGTATGGTATGTATGGCATGTATGTTTGGTATTGTATGTATGGCAAGTGTGGTAATTATGTTTCATACGTATGGTATGTGTGGTATGTATGATAGGTATGATAGGTATGGTATGTATGGCATTAGGTACGGTATATGTTAAACACATGTAGTGTTGTGAGAGTACACAGGTAGTAAATAGGAAGTAGATACATATCACATGTATATATGACTATAGGTAGCACGTAGGTACTTTGAGGGAGTATCTGTGCTACGTAGATCGTCTAAAGGTAGCATGTACCTCGTAAATGCGAGGCTGGTGGTCAGAAACGCTGCAAAGACCAAGCAAAAACGAAGCTGGACCTCAGAGATGCTGCCAATTGCAAATAGAAGGGAAGGGGGTGCTACCTGGGGACCCAACACATTGGGGGGGGGGGGGGTGGAGACGGAGGACGGGACCATATGTATATATATATATGTGTATATATATATATATATATGTTATACATATGTACAACATATATATATATACACTCATATATATATATATACATACACACACATATATATATATATATACAAATACAATAAACGAATCCCATGCTTCTGGTCAGATTTGGGACCGCTGGATCGCTGGATCCGTCTGAGTCGGTTGCAAGCCGGTCAGCATGAACTCATCGGTCAGGTTGTTCCGCTTGTATCCCTGCACCTGCATGGAGTGGATGACTCAATACTTGATTAATAGAGGGGTTTGAAGAACCCCCTTTAACAACAGGTAAATGATGATAGATGGTATACCAAACCGGCCCCTCTATTTTTACCAAAAGGGCATTATTGAATTCCCATTTCAGTACGGATGTAATCGGAAGAATGATTTACCTATAACTCATGTAATGGGAAGAATGATTTACCTATGTCGTGTTATACCAATATCCAATAATGTCCTTTTGGTAAAAATAGCTTTGGGCCGGTTTCTGGTATACGATCTATCATCACCTGTTAAAGGGGTTTCCAAACAAACCCCTCTATTAATCAACCAACCAACGGGAAAAGGACATCTATGGATTCCCATTTCATGAATTCCAATACTGGTAGGTGGTTTCAACGTACCCCTCCTCTGGAAAATGATGGAGTTCGTCAGTTGGGATGATGAAATTCCCAATATATGGAAAAATAAAAAATGATCCAAACCACCAACCAGCAATATATTTGGTAGTATACTGGTTAGAATCAGCAACTAACAGGGATTTCGAATACTTTTTGTTTGTTTGTGCATTTCAAGGTAGGACATGGTGAAACAAACAACCATATATGGCTTTCTATGACTGGGTTGTTGTCCCACATATTTTTTTGGTTCATAACATGATTATGACCTATGACCCAGTTACTAACTATAGATGCACATCCATGGGCGTTAAACATTCATGGCTTAAGCCTCAGAGGTTTGTCCTTGGTTAACCCCAATGGAGAGATGGGGGCGGTTCACTGGAGCAAGTGATCACCAACACCACGAGTGGCAGCAACATGTCGAATACACATCGGATTCATGGTTGTGGAGCTGTGAACAGGAGACCTGTTCAAGGTCTATGGTATGACCACAGAGCTACTCAAAATATCGAGGCGAATATACATGGGCCCCTTTCAAAGAATATGTTCATCCCTATAGTAACCCTCCGGTAGTCACAGCTGGAAACCTGGCACATCTCCTCACTCAATGGCCATTGATTTAGGGAAACTCATCGGATGTCCAAGGGTCAGCGGACCTGAACCAGACCAAAATTCCCAGCTTCCAAGAAGTTCATCAACATGGGCTCAAAAAAAACGCAATTTTGGGGTACCCGATACGAATGCATAGAGAATAATATGTAATTTATTGAGTTATTTGAACCTGACATATTATAAATTCTAATCTTCCAACAAATTATAGATATTCACCATTGACTTATTGAAACCCTATGGCTGATGATTCAGCAATGGGTCCTGCATTATCCTGCTATATAGCTATGAGTCAAAACTCCGGCACCCGGATGGTATCCTAAAATGGCTGGTTAAGATGCTCCATGTATGGAATATTTACCTACATTTGGGTGATTTTTGGGGTAAATATACGGATTTTAAAATATACGAACAGGTATTTTAGACTACCTCCGGGGCCTCGCGGTCTGGCCCGCCCTCCACATGTTTATTCATGTCGTTGTAGGTTTTTATAGTCCAGCACCATGTAGCTATGGCTGGAAGACTGCTGGATGTAAAAATTCCCCCAGATGGTAATTTCGTGGGTAACAAAAAGGTCCCATCCCCAGGGGCCCCTTTTTGGTGAAACCATAGAAAAAATGTTGTTTTGTTGTTTTTTTTTTCTACTACCCTTTATATATTGGGGATTACAATATATGAATATATATATATATGATAATAATCCAAGAACCCGTTCTTAACCAACCAGGATTAAATGGCATCACATTTCGGGATTTTGAACACTCCCCTCAGCCTTGCCCGTGCACTCACAGCCGATGGGTGGCGGTTGCACGGTCTTGCACTCCCTCGGCAACGGCCGAAACCACTCAGATTGGGATCTTCTCTCCACCAGCCCTGTGTCGTTCATACAAGATGGGTCCCCGAAACATTATTTTTGTTGCTTTATAAATACTACTATATACTAGACTATATCAGAATATACCATAGAAGAGCTTGATCATGTTGGACCTGCTTTGTGGAAGATATGTGTCTATTTGTTTGAGGGAATAAGTAGCAACATTGCCTAGATCCATGAGTCCATATGAGTCCCGAGTGACGGTGAGGATCACGTTTTTGCGTCGAACTTCCAACACAATGACAAACAAAACTACCAAAATACAGGTAACTAGCCGCCCATGGATAACAATCATGGCTGGTTGGTGGTTTGAATCCCTCTGAAAAATATGAGTTCGTCAGTTGGGATGATGAAATTCCCAATATATGGAAAGTCATAAACGTCATGTTCCAAACCACCAACCAGTCATGGTTTAAGACGTGATACCAATAGGAATAGGAGCTCTTGAAAACCCAGCTTTGACCCTGAATGCTGGTCTAGTCGGTCCCGAATGTTCGACCATGTCAACTCCCTACACCGGTATCCCATCAATTATGCAACTGGTTGGTGGTTGAGCCCTACCCCTCTGAAAAATGATGGAGTTCGTCAGTTGGGATGATGAAATGTCCATATATTGTGGAAAAATAAAACATGTTCCAAACCACCAACCAGTTAATATATTAGGGGTATTCAAATACAATCATACTCCCCAATCAACCAGGTAATCATCAAACAAGCATCATTCATGGAATCTATCTCCATATGTTTGATGGTTCAATTTCCGCAAAATGAAAATTACGGTTAAATCATATCAAATCATCATATCAATCGACCAGCAGTTCAGTTGAGCCATGCAAAATACCTCCATCCCATCCCATCAAGAAATGGCTGGTTGATAGGTACCCTGTGAATTATGTATTCGTTCACAATCCTCAATCACCCAGCTGGTACAACCCATCAACTTATTCATTCAACCTTCAAGCAACGATCATTTATCAATTATAACTCCAGTGTATCCGCAATTCTTGGTGGTTACAATCCACTTTTGCTGGTCAATTCCATCGTTTTTTCGTGGTTGATTGGTGGTTTTCAAACAACCAACCAAGAATTATCAGTAAAAACATGTAAACCACCAATCAATGCCTCGACTCCGCACGCTTGGGAGCCACACGCCCGTCTCAAGCTGGTTACCGGACACCTAAGAAATTGGAGGTCTAGAAATCCCATCGGGGCTACCCTAAGAATTGTCAGCACAAGGTGGTGCCCCAGTTCGTTAGCTAAGTTGGTGCCAATAAGTCCAATAACTAGGGTTGATTAGGGGGTTATATCTATAGTATTCATGGGGATCATAAACCAACTTATAACTGGGGGGGGCACCACCTTGCACAATCAAAATTCATGGATTTTGTCTGGTTGGTGGTATACCTACCCCTCTGAAAAATTATGAAAGTCAATTGTGGTAACAATAGGAAATTCTTTATGATGCTTTCAACATGTTTAAATCAATGGATTCGTTTTTTTCCCCAAAGTTCTTTGACTGAGGATGCTTGACTCTCAAATTTGGTGCTTCTTTAACCAACAAAGCATTGGAATGGAACCATCAAACAAGAGGTGGTGAAGAAGCAGACACGAAGGGCTTTGCCTAATGATGGTGGGCTTCTAAACTTGGATAGCTCTTAAAAAAATATGAAACTACCTATTTTAGTTTTCAAGAAGGCTCGAATATATTGCTCCATCGAAATCAGTAAAACCTCATCCACCACCCCAGTTCCATGAAGATGATCACCTCCCCTGATCTCAGGCTTTGTCTGATAGGATACCCTGTTCCATCTCCCATTGAAACTGCTGGGGTATACCCAATTTTCAATGGATTGATTCAAGGGGAAACTCTTGGGAACTTGTTTTTTTCACATTTCGTTTATTTTAGCCATGCTAATTGGTGGTTGAGCCCTACCCCCCTGAAAAATATTATCATAGTCAGATTGGATCATCATCCCAACTATTGGGGAAAATAAAAAATGTTCCAAACCGCCAACCAGCATGAAATATGGGGCTTTCCTGCACATATTCCCGCGAGGCATCGCATGGCATGTGTAGATGGCGAGTTCGACAGCCACATCGCTGCAGAAAGGAGCGCCCGGTATCCCAAGTATGAAGTTACAGTATATAGTATTCATTGGTATACTTATCAAGTTGGTATGATACAACCCTTCCCCCTAATATTAAAGACCCCGTTTGAAACATGGTTTAGTGGGGAATTTCCACATAATTGGGACCGTTTATGGGGTGTTTAATATTAGGGTGATGGGATTGCCACTATTAGTACTCTGTTTTTGAGGTGGTATCATACCAACATACAGCCAATCATCATCCACTAGATTCCGATCGCCATAAACCTCCATAAATGGAGGGGGGTTGTCCCATATTTTCCAACAATTTCTGTCATGTGGGTGAAACAATGCCACAATCCATCCCCCAAAACACCATAAATATGTGCTATAAACCGTTCCCATTTTTGGGTGGTTAGTTTATGATATATTATTCTCACATGATGATTTTCCCAGTAAACCACCATATTTTCCCACGATCTGCGAATGATTTTCCAAAAATTCAGGGCTTTCCCATGGTTTCCCATAGATTTTCCCAGGATTTTCCTATGATTTTCCCACAACGAAAACCAGTTCCAGCTTCGACCTTCCAAGGATTCCAAGGAGTCCAAGGGGATGGTCCAGCTTCGACCAACCCTCGGCATCCCCACCAGATCTTGTTGCTGGTGCTCTCAGCGCCCAGCACTGAGATACTGGGCTCCAGCTCCTGGTTTCTTTTCCGCGGATTTCATGGGATTTTCATGGGGATTTCCATGGTTAATAATGGTTAATCATGGTTCATGATGGTCAATATTGGTTAATAATGGTCTGGTTGGTGTTATGAAATATGTCATGGCAATTTTCATGGGAGTTGATGGGATTTAATGGGTTTTGTAATGGGATTTTAATGGGATATTGATGGGGTTTTAATGGGATTTCCATGGTTAATAATGCTTATATAATCATGGTTTACAATGGTCTGGTTGTTGCGTTTTTACCATCTTGAAAAATGATGGAGTTCGTCAATGGGAAGGATGACATCCCATATCTGAAATGGAAAATAAAAGATGTTCGAAACCACCAAGCAGTTCTTTAAAGTTGGTTATTTGATCACTCTTCTGATATCTGATGATTGCCCATGGAAAACTTCAAGTTATGATGAGAAGTGCAGATCTTTCCGGCTTCACCATCCATTCACCGTGACATGGGGGACGACCGGAGCCATCAATCCGTGACCTCCAAAAAAGCCTCCGTGGTATAAAAAAGTGGTAATTTTTCCCATGGTAATATATTAGTAATGGGTCAAAATTACCATGGTAATATATGTAATATGTATTTTGTAGAATACCTCATGGTAATTTTTTCCCATGGCTGTGTGTGTTTTCCATTAGAAGCTTCTGAAACCACTGAAAAAAAGCAGCAACATGTGACATTATAATAGCTGCGATCCCCAGGCCGTTCAAGTCCTAGAGTTGCAATCTGTCACACTTAGGCGGTCCGTTTTTGATGCCCTGAGCCTCCATCATGGATTAGCACAAAACATGAACAAATCTGCCGATATCTGCCGATCAAAAAATGGTTCCGCAATTGGTGGAATTTTTCTATGGGAAAATGCACGCGAATCACAGTCGATGGATCAAAGTCAAAATAACTGGTTCTTTATGGATCTTCCTCCCATTCTTCACCCTGTGTCTATGATTCATATTCTGGAAGGTCGGCCGGTTTGTCCCACATACATTGGAACTCCTGTAACTGAGGTTATATATCATTATAATCCCATATATAACTGTTAGTTGGGCCATCACTGTAGCTATTCAAAGGTACAGGGCGAAATATGTGATTTGTTCGGATCGCTAGTATTTGAAGCCTCAGATCTGTTGCTGAGGCTTCCAGATTGAGCCATGAAAAATAGCCCTATGCTATCCCATGAAATACTGGTTGGTTAATACTTATCCCCAATAACCCAGGTCATTTTTCACGTCCAAGGCATCAATCAACAACTGTTTTTTTGATAGCTCATATAACATCCTATAATCAATCAACAACTGTTTTTTTGATAGCTCAATTGGCTCAATTCTTTGGCACATACCCTCTTTGTTGCTAGATCTTTTGGCACTTGCTGGGGCCAAAACGCATCGCGGGGATTATTGGGATTTCAGGGCTCCAAAGGGCTCGCCGGAACCCAGAAAAAATTGCTGTGGCGTTTATCCCAGATTTCTTGCGGAAAAGGAATTTGTTTGTCAATGTTGCTGAATTTTCTTCTGGCTAAATCTTCTTGGCAACATTCCCATGCTAAATGCTATCAAATACTCATCAATTTCTGCCTCAAAATCTCGATTCTCGGCTATGGTTGAAAATTCGGTCCTCAAATTCCAGCTGGATAATACTATAGACACATACCATACACCCAAAATCTCCGGTTTTTCGCGTCATTTCCGGGTCCTGCCACTGAATTCCATCGGGGGAGTAGCAGAGTCGAAAGAGGCCCCCGTTGGGAAAGGTCAAGGGTCCGAAGACGTTCCGGATGGTCTGCAGCGGCAGCAGCGGCAGCACGGCAGTAGCTATTACGAAACATGGGGATGTAGAGATTTGGCTGAGTTGGCATGACAATTTCATCAATAACTCTTTATAAGAGATGTAACAAAAGCTACTTGGAAAATGCCTGACCTGTACTTCTCATTCACCAGGCTTGGTCCCGCAACAAGTGGAATGATCTTAGAAGTCGCTCTTTTTCTTATGGGATGAAGGTAACTATTTTGAAGGAAAACTACGACCCTCTGTATCCTCTGGTTATTGATATAACATTGGCTATGAAAACATGTTCCCTTCATAGACTATTAAAAAAAAAAAACGATGATTTAGCTATCAACAATGACTGGTTGGTGGTTTCAACATGTTTCAACCCCTCTGAAAAATATGAAAGTCAGTTGGGAGTACTATTCCCAATATATGGAAACAAACCACCAAGCAGATGATGTTTTTTTGGTTTGCTTCGTTAAATAACCATAGGCTATGTTTGTTGGCAAAGACACTGGTTTCTTATTGAGGCTCCCGACAAAAAAATAGGGCCCCCTAGATATCCAAGTTAGTTTATAATTACACTATGATTTATGTTACTTACAACATCCTTAATGGGCTTTATAAACTAACTTATATCTTATACTGTAACTGGGTATTATACTTCATGGGGGTTCTGGACTAATATATGCTGTAACTGGGGGTTCGCTTGGGGCCTAATTCAATGCATCAACCGCGGGTGCCTCGGGTGTTTGTCCAGGAATCACAGCATTTTCGGCTCCATCTGCGTTCAGCTGGCGCTGGATTTGGAAAACCCGATGGAATCGTTGGGTACCCTCTGGTGAACTAACATAGCAATGGAAAATGGCCATTTATAGTGGATTTTCCCATGAAAAATGGTGATTTTCCATTGCTATGTTAGTTCACCAGAGGGTATCCCGTAAGTGTCCACCCTGTTGCCTGTTACATGTTTTTGGAAAGTGGGCTGTTGGCTGTTCTATCAAAACATATCTAAACATCTCCCACTATGCCAGGTTGCTGCAAGCATGTTAAGTTGACAAAAATAGAAACACCAGGTATAACCCTGTGGTATGAACCCGACACATGTCATCTTTCCAAACCAGAAGCATCCTATATGGTTTGGTGGTCTTTTTGGAGAACAATCCTGATCCTTCAAATTGAAAAAACATTTTTTTTGGTTGGTGTAAACAATCTTTTTCTGCGGAATCCGCCCTGACTCTTTATTGGTAAAAAACCTGGCATTTAGTACACCCCAAATTTTGGTTCACAAGGCCGCTCCATGGTGCTGGAATATTTACCAACATTTACCCGCAACATGTCCCAGTCGTGTCAGTTTTGTAGGTAAATATACAGTAGCCGCACTATGGAGCAAATGGGAAGGCCCAAACTTTCAGCCGCAAGTGGTGAAAACAGCCAGGTGACTGAAAGGAAATCCCATGTAGGCGTTGACTGTCTGACAGCTCTGCAACCTAATGGCACGGCAATGGCTAACATAAGACGCCATGCGTTATTTGCTGTATGTTTTGAGTGAATTCTATGGATGTAGTGTGTCTTTGCATATATAGATATATTTTTATATAATATACATAAAATTCAATTCTATTTATATGAATATATATAGGTATGCTTTTATAATATATATATATATATACACATGGGTAAATTATAATATTTCACAAACCTGAAGTGTTCGGCCATAAAAGGGGATGATTTCCCTTATCAACTATGATTCCAGGGTTCGGTCGCAGTGAGGTCGTTATATATGTATAGACAGGTCGATTCATGGCTGAATTCACCAGCTGCCAAACCTTGGTTTATCACAGATATATTCGCGTTCTGGAGCCTCTGGGAAGCTAAGCTGGTTGGTGGTTGATCCCTACCCCTCTGAAAAATGATGGAGTGAAAGTCAGTTGGGATGATGAAATTCCCAATATATGGAAAATTACCAGAGGGATCCAGAGGGTATTTCCTATTAATACCTCCATTTTGGTGGGTGAATTCCCTATGAATCACCATGACTCACCATTATGAAATTCCCAACTGAATGGAAAGTCATAAAATTCCATGGTTCCAAACCACCAACCAGCAGATATATGCATCGTTCTGGACCCAAGGGCCTAAGGGTCTTTCATTTTGACCAGTCAGTTGAGCATCAACAAAACTCAGTGATCATTTTCAGGCTGGTAGGGACCACATGGCACCTGTGATAAACGAATCTCAGTAGAGTCCTGTGGAATTTTGGAGGTATACTGGGTATAGTGAGAGATTTATCTTCTAATATAGGTGCACTATGGATCTATGGTGTACTTCTATTGGAGACAACACAAATTGACAAGGCCAATCTTGAGGATGTGGCCCCCAAAAGAAGGCATTCATTAATGATGGATGTTGACAATATATGGGTTTGTCTGAGAACAGGGTGCCCCATTCTATCCGCTTGTTTACACAAAATACAAAACACTAGAATAGACAGACCCACATCCCAGCACAGTTCAAAATCTTCACCCTCAGCCCGGCCTGAACAAAAAACTGACAAACTGACTTCTATCAGTGGCCATTTCAGGTACCTAAACTGGAGGTACCTACCATATACAATATAAGGTCTATGTAAGGGCTAAATTCCAGGGAACTTATGTTCGGTACAGTACCTCAAGAAAGTCGATACCTGACCATTGACCAGACCCACCCAGCTTCCACCCTGAGTGTCTTACGTAGATCTCATGTCATAGGGCACCTCGGGAAAATTGGAGGGTGAAAATGGAGCATCCCCATCAACCCCAGATGCGAACCATGGTGCTGGAATATAAAAATACCAACATTTGCCCTTGTCCAAAATCACCCAGTGAAATGTAGTTTTTTATATACCAGCACCATGGTTGGCATATTATGGGGATGTGCATAGTGACGTCGACCAAAAGACTAGTGACAACCCAAAAGATCTCAAGATCCCAATGCAATTCTGCCACACCACGATCCTTTGCATCTGGACTGATCGATCGAAAACGAACTATGTCTGATTGATTCGGGATCGAAAACTGGCTGGTTGGTGGTTGATCCCTACCCCTCTGAAAAATGATGGAGATCGTCAGTTGGGATGATGAAATTCCCAATATATGGAAAATTACCAGAGGGTATTTCCTATTAATACCTCCATTTTGGTTGGTGAATTCCCTATGAAGCCCATGAATCACCATTATGAAATTCCCAACTGAATGGAAAGTCATAAAATTCCATGGTTCCAGTCACCACCAAGCAGTCGATATGCATGGGGTATCCATGGTGATCCCGTTCAGCCCAAAGCCAGGTGCTGCCCAGATGCTGTAAATTCGCTGGATCAACCACTTGGGAGAATCAACCAGGAATGGAACGCAAAGATTGGGAATTTCCTGTCGATTCTTGTTCGATCATGTTCGATCTATTCCCATTCTTTCTCGTGACCTTAACCGATTCCTGCAAATGTTGCACAGCAAGCTGGAAGACTGCTATTTTGGTATATAGATAAGCTGTACGACCACTATTTCTTGATTGAATCAAGTCAACATGTGGAGGTTTCCTAAAATGGTGGTAGCTGATGGTAGCCGTAAATAATTCATGTTTGTTTGGGATTCTCCATTTATAGACATTTAGAAACCATTCAGCAATTGGGTTGTTTTTTCTGTGGCTATGGAAACCCCCATGTGTTGCTACGTCCACAGTTGGACCATTCTCACCAAGCTTCCCTTCCAAGGCCCCCACTAACTTGGCGCGAATGGCTTGTTTGGAGGTTCCCAAACCAGACCTGCAGTGAAACCGTTGAAACCGTGGTTGGACCCACTGGTTGTTATCATCAGCAAAACAAACAACGACCATAAGATCTGGCCATAAATGAGGGGTTATTTATATGTAATCATAGCCCATGATCCAGACATAGTAATACTTCAATAACTATATGATTCATGATACTTAACTTATAATTTATAACTAATGGTGTTTATAAACCAACTTGTAACTGGGGGGTCTCACATTGTAACAGAATCTCTAATAAATCGGAATAAATTTGGTGATAGATCTGCTGGGCTCTTGAAATATCTTCCAGTTTCGCAACCGTCTAGCATCATGTCCAACAAAAAAAATGCAAACATAGAGTTGAGAGATGTTTACTGCGCGAAAAAGAATATTTGCTAAACTTAAAACCTGCGCAAATACCAGTGACTGACGGGTTTCCTCGGAAAATAATACTTGACTAGAAAACGAGATGGTAGCAGTAAGTTCTATTCACAGCACAATAACCATCAATAAACGGTGTCCAAACCAACTCCAATTCACAACCATGGGCGTGTCAATGAGGTATGCCTGGTGCATGGTATACCTCCTATTTCCATGGGACGATCATAAGACAACCCACCCATTTTTTGGGGTTGATCATTTCGACATATTTTGACCCATACATAAGGTGGGCCTGCTCATTATAAGTTGGTTTCGAACCTCATCTAACTATATACTATATATTATGTATAAATTATTATATATTCTGGTAATTTAACAGTTTGCTATTGAACATGGTCCATTTAGTTCGTTGATTTACCCATGAAAAAAATGTGATTTTCGGATGGAATCCATAGTTTTCTGTATGTTTACCAGAGGGTAATCAACTCTAGTCATTGCAGTGAAGTAAACCAACAAACAACTATTGATGGGCCCCCGGACGCTGCTTGAATAATGAAGGCCGGGTATGTGACGCCCGCGAGCACGTTCACCTCGTTTCGTGATGGCTACGTGGTTGGTAAAGCTGTAGCAGTTGGTGAGGAATTGGGGTGTCTTGATCCAATCATATCAAATCGAATTCAGAAGCTCAATGATGCTCCATGACAATATATGACAATGAGGCTAGCTCTATTCGGAAGTGCTGATCTATGGCAAATATCAGGGAAGTTCTGATTCGAGTATTTCAGTGGCGGTGAGTTTCCATGGGAAATTTTCCCATGAAGTTTGAAACGTTTTTTTTCGACAACTGGCAGGTTGATCCAACAGCACCGGGACGCACCGGGTCTTTGAAACATGACCTGCCTCCAGACAGGCTGAGACAACAGCAACACAGCAACAGCAGTCACTCAAACATGTGGGCTCAGCCGAATGTAAATCATGTCAGAAATGCATCGCTGTCTGCCAATACCAAAGTTCAAGATTCAAAATGCTCAGACGATTTCAATTTGTGTTTCTCTTCACCTGGCAATCAGCAACTTACCAGATCATCAGGAAATCATCACAGCACCGGGTCTTTGAAACGTGACCTGCCTCCAGGCAGGCTGAGACAACAGCAACACAGCAACAGCAGTCACTCAAACATGTGGGCTCAGCCGAATGTAAATCATGTCAGAAATGCATCGCTGTCTGCCAATACTAAAGTTCAAGCTTCAAAATGCTCAGACGATTTCAATTTGTGTTTCTCTTCACCTGGCAATCAGCAACTTACCAGATCATCAAGAAATCATCACAGCACCGGGTCTTTGAAACATGACCTGCCTCCAGACAGGCTGAGACAACAGCAACACAGCAACAGCAGTCACTCAAACATGTGGGCTCAGCCGAATGTAAATCATGTCAGAATTGTATTGAAGAGCAAACGCACTGTCTGCCAATACCAAAGTTCAAGATTCAAAATGCTCAGACAATTTCAATTTATGTTTCTCTTCACCTGGCAATCAGCAACTTACCAGATCATCAGGAAATCATCACAGCACCGGGTCTTTGAAACATGACCTGCCTCCAGACAGGCTGAGACAACAGCAACACAGCAACAGCAGTCACTCAAACATGTGGGCTCAGCCGAATGTAAATCATGTCAGAATTGTATTGAAGAGCAAACGCACTGTCTGCCAATACCAAAGTTCAAGATTCAAAATGCTCAGACAATTTCAATTTGTGTTTCTCTTCACCTGGCAATCAGCAACTTACCAGATCATCAAGAAATCATCACAGCACCGGATCCTATGTCACTCCATTATGAGGGCCGATTTTTGGCTGACAGCAACGGACTGCAGGTTCTTCGATTCAAGGGTTGGTCAATCCTGAGTAATGAACGGCCAAATTCAATTACTGCGACTGATTACTGAAGGGTAACCATTCTATCATCATGATGTTTCACCACACATATATATATATATCTGTATATATATATATATGTATATCTTGTTGGTCGTACACCTACCCCTCTGAAAAAATATGAGTTCGTCAGTTGGGATGATGACATTCCCAATATATGGAGAAAAAAAACATGTTCCAAAACACCAACTAGAATTATTGATGAGTTAGATAACAACCTTAACCAGTTTAAATCATGCTGAATCACAGGTTTTATTGTTAGCCTCTGGCTATTTAACATGGCTATGGAAAATGATCACTATTCAAACTATTTAAACATGGTGGAACCCACTTAGTTTTAGTTGTTTTTTTTACCATACTCTAAATCCGTTTTTGCATAGGATAACACACAAATCCTGGGACTCACTAGGCCACTAGGCCACTAGGCAAAAAAAAACACAACCAATATTTCATCAGCATGTTTGATGTTTAAAACAGGTAATTAAAAATCTATAAATCACCATCATCCCGTCATCCCTTTTTTAATCCAGCAGATTTTACGTTCGGTGGTGCCTCCAAAATGTGATGTGAACGTTGGTTTTTTTCATCCCCATGAATACTAGTTCGAAAAATAACCCCCATTCATCAACCCAACAGTTATTGGACTTTTCCTTAACCCAACAGTTATTATTATTAACCATATATATATATTTAGATTCACCATTAAAACCATAGGTATTGGACTTATTGGCACCAACGTTAGCGATTTCGAACTGGGGCACCACCGAACGTCGGAAGGATTTCGCTGGGACGCCGCGCGTTCACCGTGCTACGGGGCTCGGCCTGGCGTTTCCCAAAAAAGCTGGTGAATCTCGCTGGGATGGATGTACAATGGATATGTTTATTGCTTATACTCAATTACTATGGGTATTTATTATATATAGATGATTTATACTAATATAGCAATGGTTCATATTTTGACTAATAGATGTTTATTTCCACCAAATTTTGAGTAAGAATGTAGTAATTTCATAGGGTTTTGACCCATCCCCAAATGGTGGTCTAACCCAACAACAATAGGGCTCTGACCAAGAAAAATGATGAATTCTTAAAAATGGTGATTTAGCCACACCAGGAAAAAAAAGGAAACATTGGATTTCCCCATCAATCATTGGGGAATATAGTTTCTATATGAGAAAAGAAGTTGGTCTGTAACTAGCTTATCTGGGGGTTATTTCATGTATTTTGAACTAGTTAGATGGGTGAACATTAACAAACTTTTAACTGAAGGGTCTTTCAGTACCACAAAGGGGTAGTTTTTTTATACTGGTTCCCCCAACTAACATAGACCCCAAGAATCGCGTGCTTCTGGAGGATGGTAGTCTTCCAAACTCCAGCTCGCTACAGGATCAATTTTAGTTGGAGGGAGGGGAATGGACAGTAATATATAGGGGGTGAGACAAGACAATGACATAATGGTCCCCATTTTATAATGACCGTGAAAGGGTTTAATGTTGAAATATATCTATCACATGCTATATATCAAACACATATCAAACCAAATGATCAACCGTATGGTATATCAAACAGACACAGAAGTCATCAGTGATTCGATATTATTATGGTTGGTTCTGCATACTAGTGGGTGTCCATACCTCAACATGTTAGTTTGATTTGTTTGCTATAATTGCACCATTTCCATCACCAATTTAGGCTTTTCTGGCAATGGGTTACCCCAAAATCCAGAGCAGGCTTCTCCCGTTCAAATTTCTCACTTGCAAGTTTTGGGGTATACCCGCACTTGTTGAACAGTTCCATATACAGTTCTGCATTCTTTCCATCACCGAAAAACCCGTAAGAACATGATCTACACATAGTGGGGCCCCCAAGATATAAATGGTTTTGAAGCCCAATCTAACTAGGTCGATATATATATATATATATATGTATATATATATATGTGCCATAAACCCGACAGTTCTTGTAGTTATAGAGCAACAAAGAGCTATCCAATGGGGCCCCAGAACTATAATTATATGTTAATATTAAAATGTTTTATATCCACTTAGTTCACTGATGTTCACTGGAACTTCCCAAGGACAGATTTTCACCACAATTTTCCCAGTTTTTGGCACCTGCACATTGGAACCATCCACTGTGGAGACCTCATACGCCACGTCCACGGCTGTGAGATGCCTCGCCGGGTAGGGTTTACTAAGCCATGGGGGTACCCCAATAGCTGGATATTTTTTAAAGGGAAAATCCATCTATAAATGGGTGAGAACTGGGGATAGCCCCTATTTCAGGAAACCTCCATTTGGATATTCCATGTAATTCACATGTTGAATGTAAGATACCCTCTGGTAATTTAGCATAGCTATTGAACATGGCCATTTATAGTGAGTTTTCCCATTAAAAATTGTGATTTTCCATAGCTATGTTAGTTTACCAGAGGGTATATGTAATTACATGTAATTAAGAATATGCAAAAAAAGATGGAACAAACAGGATGAGTTAACCGGCTTTTCAGAAAGGAACATCATCTAAGCATGGATCAACCAACTTGTGGACCCGTTGTGTATCATATCTTACCAGACCATTTATACTGGTTGGTGGTATACCTACCCCTCTGAAAAATATGAGTTCGTCAGTTAGGATGATGACATTCCCAATATATGGAAACATAAAAAATGTTCCAAACCACCAACCAGCTATTATCCCATTAAAATTGCCATTTATAGTTGATTTACCCATTAAATATGGTGATTTTCCATTCATACTACCGTATTACCCTCCATCTAACTCGTAAAGGCTCGGCCATTTTCAGGGTCAGTTCGGGGATGGCTAGTCGCATTTCTGCACATCCCCGAACTGCAGAGTCGTCGCCTTTCTAGAGGAGGCATGAAAAAAAAACTATAGATGCTATTGCTGAAAGTAATGAACAAACATATGTTGCTACCTTGTCTGGGATATTTTTTGAATTCTTGGAGGATCCTTTCTAGCAAAAATCAAATAGTATTGGGGGCCATGAAATTGTAACATATTGTAACCAACATTTCAGGCAATGTTCAAAATGATGAAAGCAGATGTCACTGGATGATTAAAAAACCAAACAGTGATGGCCCTTAACAGTGATAAATGGGATTATAATTCCTATAACTGAGGTTATATATATATATATCATTATAATCCCATTTATAACTGTTAAGGGCCATCACTGAAGATGGAATCTGTTGATCCATTTTTTGCGTTGGCAAAATCAGACTGTTCCCGTCCACCCT